TCCCAGTATTTCACTGAAGTATGAAGTGAGGGGTTTTCCCTATTACGCTGGACATTAAATTTTTTTCCCCTTTTCAGTTTACTTTTCGTCCCCAAGAGTATGGCTTCTGTTTTCCCGGGGTTGGCGATGAAAACATCCCGTGCATCGTTTCAGGTAAGGGGAAAATGTGTGCAGTTTGTGAGATTTTGGGTAGGGTGGGGTGCCCAGGTAGGGCCCAGGCAGTCCCTCCCCCAACGCTGCGGGGGGAGGGGGATGAGTGTGGGGGTGGGATGAAGAAGCATTGGGGGTTTTTTGAGGTCACTCCCAATATCTTTCTGCGTGATCCCTGGGTTTACCTGGAGAGAGTTCCGGGGGTCAACCCCCCGCGGCCCGGTCTGGACCAGGCCCCCTGGTGGATCAGAGCCTGATAACCAGGTGTTTCTGTGGCCAGAATCCAACGAAAAGAGCCCAGCCCGGGGAAACGAATGCTGTTGTGTTTGTTTTAGGCAGGACAGTTGAAAAACAGTGCACAATCGTGTGAGGAAGGCCCCCTCACCCCCCTCCCCCGGGCTTGCCCCCTGTTAGTAAACAGTGTGTAGGGAAGGCCCCCCACCCCCCTTTTCGGGCCCTTTCCCCGGGTGTAGTAAACAAGGCCCTCTGTAATCTTTTAACTGCGCCCCCGGGAGGGTTGTGGGGTGCGTGGGAAACTAACTCGGCCTCAACCATTCAGCTCCACAATATGGATCACTTGACATGGCTTTGGTGACTGGAAAAAAATCAGAATGGATGTAATTACACAGACTTTGCAAAGCATTTGACAAAATGCGATCATGGCGTAAAAGCCCATTAAAAAAACGTGCTAAAGGAATAACTGGGAAAGGGGGAGATGGATTTCAACTTCCTAACAAAACGAAAAACAAAGAGTAGTGGTCAACAGAGTTAAAAACGGAGGTGCCATTGAAGGTTGTTTCCCAAAGGGCCCGTACTGCCCCCTTTATTCCCCTTTCCTCTATCAGCATAAACAGAGATATACACCCAGCCCGATCCCTTTTTCGGATGATACTAGGATCTGCTGAGGTGTCATTGTGAGGGCGCGGTTAACCTCCAAAAAGTATAAAAAAAGTTTTTCCCGTGGGCAACGGTAAACAATATGATGTTAATGGGACAAAAATTTCCCAAATACTCCGTTATGGAAAAAAAGGAGGAGTAAAATTAAATAGAAAAGGTATATACTGCTCTGGGGCCCTCATAGAGCGGAAAAAAAAAAGTAGTGGCCTGGGAGTAGTAATGTCTGAGGTCTCATTTCAGGATCAAACAGTGCCCGATGCAGTGCAAAGAAAATGATAGGATGGACAATGAGAACTTTCAAAACGAGAGATGCCAAGCCCATGATGATCCTTTTCAAATCACTTGTTCTCTCTAGGCTGGAATACTGCTGTACATTAACATCTCCATACAAAGCAGGTGAAATCGCAGATCTAGAGAGTGTACAGAGATCCTTTACTGCACGTATAAGTTCTGTCAAGCACCTTAACTACTGGAACGCTTGGAAGCACTTGACTTGTACTCGTTGGAACGCAGGAGGGAGAGATATAACATAATCTACACTTGGAAAATCTTGGAAGGAATGGTCCCAAATCTGCACACAGAAATCACTCCCTACGAAAGTAAAAGACTGGGCAGGCGATGCAAAATGCGCCAATAAAAAGTAGGGGCGCCATTGGTACACTAAGAGAAAACACCATAAGTGTCCGGGGCCCAAAACTGTTCAACAGCCTCTCATCAAGCATTAGGGGAATTGCCAATAAACCCCTGGCTGCCTTCAAGAGAGAGCTGGACAGATACCTAAAGTCGGTGCCGGATCAGCCGGGCTGTGGCTCGTACGTCGGACTGCGTGCGGCCAGCAGTAACAGCCTAGTTGATCAGGCCCTGATCCATCGGGAGGCCTGGTCGTGGACCGGGCCGCGGGGGCGTTGATCCCCGGAATAACCTCCAGGTAACCTCCAGGTAACCTGACTCACCCACCCAATTCCTAGCGCCACCACCACGTCAGCGATGGCACTGCAGGGACAGCGCCATGGGGTTCGACCGCAACGCAGCTGTCGGGTGTGCCACAGGCAGTGTGCACTCAGTTCCTCAATCTTCAACATCCCGTGCACACGGTGGGTGTCTGGGCACCCAGAGGGCTCCAGGTGGCATCAATCAACAGCCCCTCCAGGCAGACATAGGTGACAGCTGCCGTTTTTTTGGGGCCCTTTCCCCAATCAAACCTTTACAGAGGGCCTGGTGGCTAAAGCTCCCGCTTCACACACGGAGGGCCCGGGTTCGATTCCCGGCGGGTGGAAACATTTCGACACGTTTCCTTACACCTGTTGTCCTGTTCACCTAGCAGCAAATAGGTACCTGGGTGTTAGTCGACTGGTGTGGGTCGCATCCTGGGGGACAAGATTAAGGACCCCAATGGAAATAAGTTAGACAGTCCTCGATGACGCACTGACTTTCTTGGGTTATCCTGGGTGGCTAACCCTCCGGGATTAAAAATCCGAACGAAATCTTATCTTAACTTGGTGTCCACCAGGATGTTGACACGTCCCCAGGATGCCTCTCCCATGGGCTGCTAGCGGAGTCGCTGGCCTCTCCTGCAAACAGATCCCGGGGTAACATGCTGCTCTTTGCAATGGTTGTCTGGCTGTCCTGCCGAGGAGGGACAGGCACCTAGCAACGTCTGTTGGCAAAGGATGAATTCCCTACAATGTTTGTTAACTGATCATTACTCTGAAAATTGTTCATGATTGTAATCATATGTTCACGATTGTGACCAGCTGTACCTGGAGCTCATTACCTTTGTCAATTCTCATTATTGTAACCAAATCTAGTTCAGTACCTTTGTAATTAGTCATGAGTGTGACCAGCTCTACCTGGAACTCATTACCTTTGTACTTGGTCACGATTGTGACCAGATCTAGTTCATTACATTTGTAACTTCCTCAGCTATTAAAACTTTGGGGTCCAGTCACTGGACCCATTATGTACCTCTGTAATCTTTTGACTACCGCCCACAGGATGGGTATGGGGTGCATAATAAACATATTAAACTAACTAACTAGCCGGGCTGTGGCTCGTACGTCGGACTGCGTGCGGCCAGCAGTAACAGCCTAGTTGATCAGGCCCTGATCCATCGGGAGGCCTGGTCGTGGACCGGGCCGCGGGGGCGTTGATCCCCGGAATAACCTCCAGGTAACCTCCAGGTAACCTCCAGGTAACCTCCAGGTAACCTCCAGGTGAGTGTAAGTGTGAACCACCAGGTGGTTTTTATGTAGTTAGTTGACGGGGTGTATCAGGGAGATACAGGGATCCAGAATACAACCATGGGGAACCCCACATAACTTCACCTCTCGCAGTTTTCACGGGAAGCAAATAATACTGGGCTTATCATAAGCAAGACAGAGTGAACAATGTTAATATTCTAACTCCTGATGCAGGATGTACAATGACTATTCAGTCTCTCCGTCCGGTCCTTGGAAAACCGATTAGCTTTAATGGCATACTTGACAATAATCGTTATTGCCCGCTGAAGTCTCCCAGTCTGATAGATTTCAACACCTTGTACGAGCCCCAACCTGCGTGATGGACTGTGACGAAGTAGCATAGGTAGCGTTTGTCCCCACTGTGTTTACCTGGAGAGTTACTATCATACAGAATACAATAGCAACACATGCTGATATATCCAATTTTAGTAAATAAAAAAAAAATCCCTTGTGCCCCCTATAGGGCAGAGGACTCATCGCCGTGAGTTCAAACCCTACCTGTTCGGTGATTTTCTTTTTAACCCTAGAGGTTTTCATCATCTTGAACTCCTTCCACACTCTTGCTGCACCCAACATGTCAAACCGCGTCCACACACCCCTAGTTGGGAGGATGTTAGTTGAATGAATGCTTGCTGAATGGATGCTGGTTGGATGGATGCTGATTAGATGGATGCTGATTGGATAGATGTCGTTCCTCTGGCTAGCAGCCAAAGGAACAGCACAGCAGCAAATGTTAGAAGCAAATGTCGATCCTCGTACTGTTTCGTTGCCTTAACAGTAATGGTGTCTCCACAGATTTGGTGGCTGTCTGGTTCAAAATGTCTTCCCGTGGAAAGTAAGGATCCACAGCCCCCTCGAGCATCTGAACACACCCCAGTAAAACCCAACACACATTATTTTAAATCCAATCAAAGCAACAGGACCTTTCCACATGTCCCGTAGCTCACTTGGTAGCGCACTCAGCTCACTGAGGTCCGTGGTTCGATCCCCGGTACGAATGGAAACATTGGGTGCTACTTTAAGACATCTACTGTCCCTGTAGGCACCCGGGTGCTAACTGAATGGTGTGGGTCGAATCCTGGGGGGACAAAATTAACTTAAGTTGCCCGAAATGCTCTGCATAACCAGGGGCTTTCTATACAGTAAGTCACTGATGTCAGCTAGGTCTGTATAAGTAGTATCATGTACTTGTAGAAATAAAGATTATTATTATTACTACTATTATTATCATAAGATCAGCCGTCCGCACGCAGCTGGGAGACTCGCAGACCAGGAGAGTGTAAATAAATACTCCACTATTCTAGTTGCTACACCCACCATAAACACCTGGAATAATTTTACCATCATTTGATAATGTTTACCGAGCCGTGCCAGCAAGATGCATCGACTCACTGCCTTTCTCGGTCATCAAATCACTAAGAAATTTTCCCAGAGCGGACAGTTTGATTTGCCTTCTGCATCAACAGAAAAGGGAGGAAAGACAGACCTACCAATCTCTTCACCTACAGTGAGAAAAATCAGATTCCGACACAGGTGCCCAACTTCATGACTCCAGTTCACGGTTATTTCATTCTAATTTTTATGAACTGGTAAATGTATATTTCGAAGTTTTCGCATCTGCAGCAGTCTTCTCAAGAAATATTTGTCATCATCTATGAAAAGATCCTCATATTTTTTTTAATTCCTTCTCTTTCTCTCTTTCTCATCAGTTAATAATGGAAGATGAGAACTGTGAGATGTTAGGGCCGCCGGCGACACTGGTGAAGCAGCAAGATGAGACTCTTCTACGACCTTCAGGCGTCGCTAATGACCTTATATACTCTATAGAAGATGTACCTCCCTGGTACCAGTGTATGGTGTATGGCTTCCAGGTGAGTACCTTCATGGTACCTGTGTGTGGTGTATGGCTTCCAGGTGAGTACCTCCCTGGTACCTGTGTGTGGTGTATGGCTTCCAGGTGAGTACCTTCATGGTACCTGCGTGTGGTGTATGGCTTTCAGGTGAGTACCTTCATGGTACCTGTGTGTGGTGTATGGCTTCCAGGTGAGTACCTCCCTGGTACCTGTGTGTGGTGTATGGCTTCCAGGTGAGTACCTCCCTGGTACCTGTGTGTGGTGTATGGCTTCCAGGTGAGTACCTTCATGGTACCTGTGTGTGGTGTATGGCTTCCAGGTGAGTACCTCCCTGGTACCTGCGTGTGGTGTATGGCTTCCAGGTGAGTACCGTCATGGTACCTGTGTGTGGTGTATGGCTTCCAGGTGAGTACCTTCATGGTACCTGTGTGTGGTGTATGACTTCCACGTGAGTACCTCCCTGGTACCAGTGTGTGGTGTATGGCTTCCAGGTGAGTACCTCCCTGGTACCTGTGTGTGGTGTATGGCTTCCAGGTGAGTACCTCCCTGGTATCAGAGTGTGGTGTATGGCTTCCAGGTGAGTACCTCCCTGGTACCAGTGTGTATAGTGTATGGCTTCCAGGTGAGTACCTCCCTGGTACCATTTGTAGTGTATGGCTTTCAGGTGAGTACCTCCCTGGTACCAGTGTGTGGTGTATGGCTTCCAGGTGAGTACCTTCCTGGTACCAGTGTGTGGTGTATGGCTTCCAGGTGAGTACCTCCCTGGTACCTGTGTGTGGTGTATGGCTTCCAGGTGAGTACCTCCCTGGTACCAGTGTGTGGTGTATGGCTTCCAGGTGAGTACCTCCCTGGTACCTGTGTGTGGTGTATGACTTCCAGGTGAGTACCCTCTTGGTACCTGTGTGTGGTGTATGGCTTCCAGGTGAGTACCTTTCTGGTACCAGTGTGTGGTGTATGGCTTCCATGTAAATCCCTCCCTGGTACCAGTGTATAGTGTATGGCTTCCAGGTGAGTCTCTTCCTGGTACCAGTGTGTGGTGTATGGCTTCCAGGTGAGTACCTCCCTAGTACCAGTGTGTGGTGTATGGCTTCCAGGTGAGTACCTCCCTGGTACTAGTGTGTATAGTGTATGGCTTCCAGGTGAGTACCTCCCTGGTACCAGTGTGTAGTGTATGGCTTCCAGGTGAGTACCTCTCTGGTACCAGTTTGTGGTGTATGGCTTCCAGGTGAGTACCTCCCTGGTACCAGTGTGTATAGTGTATGGCTTCCAGGTGAGTACCTCCCTGGTACCATTTGTAGTGTATGGCTTTCGGGTGAGTACCTCCCTGGTACCAGTGTGTGGTGTATGGCTTCCAGGTGAGTACCTCCCTGGTACCAGTGTGTGGTGTATGGCTTCCAGGTGAGTACCTCCTGGTACCAGTGTGTGGTGTATGGCTTCCAGGTGAGTACCTCCCTGGTACCAGTGTGTGGTGTATGGCTTCCAGGTGAGTACCTCCTTAGTACCAGTGTAGTGTATGGCTTTCCAGGTGAGTACCTCCTTAGTACCAGTGTAGTGTATGGCTTTCCAGGTGAGTACCTCCTTAGTACCAGTGTAGTGTATGGCTTTCCAGGTGAGTACCTCCTTAGTACCAGTGTAGTGTATGGCCTTCCAAGTGAGTACCACCCTGGTACCAGTGTGTGTGTTGAGACATTCAGACATCTGCTCTTAAATCATTCTCTCTTATTTCTGTTCCTCATGTTTGATACCATATTATATACGTCGTGCCGAATAGGTCAGACTTGAGATTTTCACTTAAATAGCAACGCTCTTGCCGAATAAGGCAAGCGAAAATTTGTCTATACAATAATTTCGTGAAAATCATTCTGAACCAAACGAAAAAAATGTACTTCATTGTGTTTGTTTATTATTAAATTATTGTAAACTTATCTGAAATATATTTATTTGGATTAGATTAAATTAAATTGCGCCTGTTATAATAAGGTTAGGTAAGTTTTCTGAGGTTCTTTTGGTACAAAATTATTAATTTTTGCATTAATATAAATGAAAAAAATATATCTTTAAACGTACTAGAGAAAACTTTAGAAAGGACTTAATTGCAACAACCACGGTTTCAGTCCCCGTCCATTATTATTATTATTATTATTAATAATAATATTATTATTAGTATTATTATTATTATTATAGCCAAGAACTAGTGTTGTGGTGGGTTACAACACAATAATCCTGGCTAGTGGGCTGTTACAACACAATAATCCTGGCTGGTGGGCTGTTACAACACAATAATCCTGGCTGGTGGGCTGTTACAACACAATAATCCTGGCTGGTGGGCTGTTACAACACAATAATCCTGACTGATGGTTTGTTACAGCACTACCTGGCCATGATAGGAGGGACTATCTCTAAACCCATCATCTTGGCAACCTTCCTGTGTCTGGAGGAAGATAATCCCGCCCGAGGAGCACTTGTGTCCACCATCATCTTTATGTCTGGAGTGATTACCTTACTACAGTCAACCGTCGGTGTCAGGTAACATCCACACTTCTCAGTTAACATCCACACTTCTCAATTAACATCCAAACTTCTCAGTTAACATCCACACCTCTCAGTTAACGTCCACACTTCTCAGTTAACATCCACACTTCTCAAATTTAACAACGTTATGTCTCTCCTTGTAATCCATCCCTCAGTTCCATTATCAGTCTCGTTCCAAACCATTTAAACTGTGTTTTAGTTTTCTGATATTCGTGATCAGCTGAGGGCGCCATGTTGGCGCTGCATACGCCAAGCTGGTCCTAGAATGTGATGTATACAATGTCTTAAACTGTTTACAATGTTTACAAACATGAAACTCGGGCCAGAGGAGACTCAAACCTGTGAACTTTAGGGTAAACAGTCTGGCTTGACTTGCGTACTGTGTTCCAAAGTTCGAACCTCCTCAGGTCTGAGTACAATTTCGTCCAAATTTCTAACATAGACTCTAGGAGTACGGAAGTGTATGCGGGAAAAGTTTCATGAAGATTGTGCAATAAATAAAGAAACAAAAATTAAAAAAAAAAATTTAAATTGCAACAAGTATGTCGTCATCCTGAAATGTTGACAATGGCAAAGTTATTTTGGTTACTAACACATGATAAAGTAATGTCAAGTGGGTTTTTCCATGATCTAAAATTATTTAAGTCTTTTGTAGTCCCCACAAAAATCAGAGTTATGTCTAAACTATTTTTTTCAGTTTTTACATTTTACGCCCATGGTATTGGAGGGAATTATTGTCAATATTTTAACCTGGGTTTGGAAAGCAATAACCCTAGAATATCTGTTGGAAAAATCATAATGATCGGTTCATAAATAAAAAAGTTACAATAACAAACATTAGATTTTTACTTATAGGCCTACCGTAACTAATGATGTCATCATCTCATTTATTATAATTGTGATAACTCAATTAAGAATTATCGTAAAGAGTTGACACATACACCAAAATGTTGCTAGATTTAAGAATGTTTTTTTTCTTGTAAGTTTAACTCCTTCACCAATTCTCATAATTTTTTGTATAGGCCTACTGCAACTGACTACTACTTCCCTTCTCTGGTCTGAATGCGTATAACGTACGAGGTTCGATACTCTAACGTCTTAGACGGGATACAGAATGTCGTGACCCGGTTACATCATCGGGTCCTCTGGCTTCATGTAAATATTAATGATGTCCTTAATGAATCCCTTGTAGAGGCTGCTGTTACCTGCCTCTTGTGTCGTCCTAGGCTACCCATCATCCAGGGTGGTAACTTCGCCTACGTAGTGCCCACGGTAGTGTTGCTTACCAGCACCTACGAGCCTTGCAGTGCCCTGCCCCTGGCCAACATGACCGTGGCGGCGAAGGAGGAAGTGTGGCAGGAACGTATTAGAGAGGTGCAAGGCGCCATCACCGTCTCTGCTCTCTTCCAAGTGTTGATCGGCTTCTCAGGTGAGTTGGCTCGCTAGGTTAGTCAGGAACAGGAAACAGGATAAGTGTTTCCTGACTAGGGTCTCAGATGATGACCCGCCGTTCAGAGTAGGCAAGTGTACATTACTTCGTGGGTTTGTTACTGTTGGCTTAAATGGCTGTGGCGGTCTCTGAAGTGTCGTAACTTCTCAACCTTCCAGGTGCTGTGGGAGTGTTGCTGTGGCGGATAACACCACTGACATTGGTACTGATATATGTGTCTCTCACATAGGTGCTGTGGGAGTGTTGCTGTGGTGGATAACACCACTGACGGTGGTACCCACAGTGACACTGGTGGGTCTCTCACTCTTTGACGTGGCTTCCAAGGAAGGCGCTGGACACTGGGGCATCTGCCTTCTGTGAGTACACATATGTATAGTATTTTTAATTTTGTACACAGTTATGTGGACTCTATACACATGCATTTATACTGTGGGTATATACAGTCATGTATTGCGTGTACACACTCGTGTCAGGTATATACTGTACCTAAATGGTCCAAATAACCGACAAATTGATAAATTACACATGTGCAACACTTTGGTATCTTTATTGTGGAAACGTTTCGCCACACAGTGGCTTCATCAGTCCAATACAAAGAAGAGTAAAGATCAGAAGTAGATTGAGGTAATCAGTCCCTCAGCCTGGAGTCGATGTAATCAGTCCATCAATATTGATAAGAATACAGCACATGCGCGAAGAAGTGGCTTATATACTGCAGACAGGTGAGGTGAAGCAGTCGTAGGCGGTGTTACCTTGGACAAATCCGCAAGTAGAAGTAGGTCATGACTGTAGGTTAGGCAAGCGTAGAATTCCCTGTATCAGGGTCCTAAGATGCAAGATGTTGCTGTGTCTGACAGGAATGTAGATAAACACACACACACACACACCCACACACACACACCTGTGGTGAGCAACATACACTTAACCCACAAGGGGACTGATCACCTATCATGGCTAGGGTACTGATCACCTATCATAGCTGAGGGACTGAACACTTATCATAGCTGAGGGACTGATCACCAGTCATGGCCGAGGGACTGATCACCAGTCATGGCTAAGGGACTGATCACCAATCATGGCTGAGGGACTGAACACCTATCATGGCTGAGGTACTGATCACCTATCATGGCTGAGGGACTGAACACTTATCATAGCTGAGGGACTGATCACCAGTCATGGCTAAGGGACTGATCACCAATCATGGCTGAGGGACTGATCACCAGTCATGGTGAGGGACTGATCACCAGTCCCTGGCTATGGGACTGATCACCAATCATGGCTGAGGATGATCACCAGTCATGGCTGAGGGACTGTCACCAGTCATGGCTGAGGGGCTGATCACCAGTCATGGCTGAGGGACTGATCACCAGTCATGGCTGAGGGACTGATCACCAGTCATGGCTGAGGGACTGATCACCAGTCATGGCTGAGGGAACTGATCACCAGTTTATGGGCTGAGGGACTGATCCCAGTCATGGCTGAGGGACTGATCACCAGTCATGGCTGAGGGACTGATCACCAGTCATGGTGAGGGAAATGATCACCAGTCATGGCTGAGGGACTGATCACCAGTATGGCTGAGGGACTGATCACCAGTCATGGCTGAGGGACTGATCACCAGTCATGGCTGAGGGACTGATCCCAGTCATGGCTGAGGGACTGATCACCAGTCTGGCTGAGGGATGATCCCCTTGTCCTCTAAAAAACAACTTTATTACAGTATAGTACGTATGTCCCTTATATAATGATAATTTTCATGTATAAAAAACTAAAAAGAAAGCCCTTTTTTGGGGGAAAAAGTGTTTACAATGAACCCCTGGGTGCACCATTCCCCTTCCCCTTGGATCAAAACCCAATTTCCTCCCCTTATCCAAACTTGCTTTCTGGTTTAAAAGTTCTCGTGAATATAAAATAAAAATAATAAATCTTTTGTGTCAAAAGTGTTCAAAAATATCAAGTGTATCAACGTGTATCAAGTACATCAACATTCAACGTGAAAAACGTGTATCAACGTGTGGGTGAGGCAGCACTGTGACGCTCACAGTGCTCTTCTCTCAGCACAGAGGGACCTGAACGTGCCCCCCGATTATAAGAAGGGTCAGGGGGCCCCCACCCCCCTGCCAGCCCTTTAAAACATGTCGGGAAATAAAACCAAACTGTTGACACCCTGTCAGCCCTTCAAAAAACTGTCTTAAGTAACTATTGTTGACATCACCCTGTCAACACTTCAAGACAGGAAATATAAGCGGACACCCCCGCAACCCTTCAAGACTGTCTGTAGTATACCCGCTCTGAACCACCCGTTTAAACCCCTTTAAGACACTGTCGTAAATTCCGGGGCTGACCCACCTGTCAACCCTTCAAGACACTGTCTTAAAATTAACCCTGTTGAATCACCCGTCAGCCTTAAGGACACAAAAAATGCCTGCTGCTGACCCGCTGTCAACCCTTCAAGGGCCTGTAAGTATACAATGCTGACACCACCTTCACACTTCTTGATCGTTTGCGCTAAATCGGGCCTTCAAGGTGTTTATCTCCGGCTCTTTGGCCTCCCCCAAAAATCTAGGGAAAGTTTGGGGACGAGGGGGCTGGGGGAAGGATACAGGGGATACCTACTGGGGTCACTTTTACAGGAAACGGGGGGTTTTGGGGTATAAGGGGACCATAGGCAACTTTCCTTTCCCCCGATAACTTTCCTGAGTATTTGACATAAATTTCATGTTCCCCCTGAATCTTCCTTTTTAATTTCACAGATTTCAAGTTCGTTCTCTTCGTCAATGACCAAGGTCCTCAAGCTTGATCGAAGCCTTGTTACTTCGACTGGGTTCGCATCCAGGGCGAGGACCTAAAATAGGGAACCAGCAACATATAAGCCACTCGGCTTGGCTTGCCTGAGTTATCCTGGGCTATTATACTACTGGGTTACTTATCCAAATGAATAATTTCTTCCTCAGCATAGAGTGTTATGTACTCTATCCCACAGTTGTTACTGGCTATCATAAGTGTTATGTTATTCTCTTCACAGTTGTTACTGGCTATCATCATAGTGTTATGTACTGTCTCCTCACAGTTGTTTCTGGTTATCATCATAATTTTATGTACTGTCTTCCCACAGTTGTTACTGGCTTCCGTCAGAGTGTTATGTACTGTCTTCCCACAGTTGTTACTGGCTATCATCATAGTGTTATGTAACTGTCTTCCCTAGTTGTTACTGGCTTCCATCAGAGTGTTATGTACTGTCTTCCCACAGTTGTTACTGGCTATCATCATAGTGTTATGTACTGTCTTCCCATAGTTGTTACTGGCTTCCATCAGAGTGTTATGTACTGTCTTCCCACAGTTGGTTACTGGCTCCATCAGAGTGTTATGTACTGTCTTCCCACAGTTGTTACTGGCTTCCATCAGAGTGTTATGTACTGTCTTCCCACAGTTGTTACTGGCTTCCATCAGAGTGTTATGTACTGTCTTCCCACAGTTGTTACTGGCTTCCATCAGAGTGTTATGTACTGTCTTCCCATAGTTGTTACTGGCTTCCATCAGAGTGTTATGTACTGTCTTCCCACAGTTGTTACTGGCTTCCATCAGAGTGTTATGTACTGTCTTCCCACAGTTGTTACTGGCTTCCATCAGAGTGTTATGTACTGTCTTCCCACAGTTGTTACTGGCTTCCATCAGAGTGTTATGTACTGTCTTCCCACAGTTGTTACTGGCTTCTATCAGTGTTATGCACTGTCTTCCCACAGTTGTTACTGGCTTCCATCAGAGTGTTATGTACTGTCTTCCCACAGTTGTTACTGGCTTCCATCAGAGTGTTATGTACTGTCTTCCCACAGTTGTTACTGGCTTCCATCAGTGTTATGTACTGTCTTCCCACAGTTGACAGGATGGATAATGAGAACCTTCAAAACTAGGGAGGCCAAGCCCATGATGACACTCTTCAGGTCACTTGTTCTATCTAGGCTGGAATATTGCTGCACACTAACAGCACCTTTCAAGGCAGGTGAAATTGCTGACCTAGAAAATGTACAGAGAACCTTCACGGCGCGCATAACGGAGATAAAACACCTCAATTACTGGGAGCACTTGAGGTTCCTAAAACTGTATTCCCTGGAACGCAGGCAGGAGAGATACATGATTATATACACCTGGAAAATCCTAGAGGGACTAGTACCGAACTTGCACACGAAAATCACTCACTACGAAAGCAAAAGACTTGGCAGACGATGCAACATCCCCCCAATGAAAAGCAGGGGTGTCACTAGCACGTTAAGAGACCATACAATAAGTGTCAGGGGCCCGAGACTGTTCAACTGCCTCCCAGCATACATAAGGGGGATTACCAACAGACCCCTGGCAGTCTTCAAGCTGGCACTGGACAAGCACCTAAAGTCGGTTCCTGACCAGCCGGGCTGTGGCTCGTACGTTGGTTTGCATGCAGCCAGCAGCAACAGCCTGGTTGATCAGGCTCTGATCCACCAGGAGGCCTGGTCACAGACCGGGCCGCGGGGGCGTTGACCCCCGGAACTCTCTCCAGGTAAACTCCAGTTGTTACTGGCTTCCGTCAGAGTGTTATGTACTGTCTTCCCACAGTTGTTACTGGCTTCCATCAGTGTTATGTATTGTCTTCCCACAGTTGTTACTGGCTTCCATCAGTGTTATGTACTGTCTTCCCACAGTTGTTACTGGCTTCCATCAGAGTGTTATGTACTGTCTTCCCACAGTTGTTACTGGCTTTCATCAGAGTGTTATGTACTGTCTTCCCACAGTGTTTACTGGCTTCCATCAGAGTGTTATGTACTGTCTTCCCACAGTTGTTACTGGCTTCCATCAGAGTGTTATGTACTGTCTTCCCACAGTTGTTACTGGCTTCCATCAGAGTGTTATGTACTGTCTTCCCACAGTTGTTACTGGCTTCCATCAGAGTGTTATGTACTGTCTTCCCACAGTTGTTACTGGCTTCCATCAGAGTGTTATGTACTGTCTTCCCACAGTTGTTACTGGCTTCCATCAGCGTGTTATGTACTGTCTCCCCACAGTTGTTACTGACTTTCATCAGCGTGTTATGTACTGTCTCCCCACAGTTGTTACTGGTTATCATCATAGTGTTATGTACTGTCTCCCCACAGTTGTTACTGGCTTTCATTAGTGTTATGTACTGTCTCCCCACAGTTGTTACTGGTTATCTTCATAGTGTTATGTACTGTCTCCCACAGTTGTTATTGGCTATCATCATAGTGTTATGTACTGTCACCCACAATTGTTACTGGCTGTCATAATATTATGTACTCCTGCATTTGTTACTGGCTGTCATAATATTATGTACTCCTGCATTTGTTACTGGCTATCATCATAACGTGGATGTTATGTACTCTCTCGCGCAGCTGTTACTGGCTATCATTATAGCATGGATGTTATGTGCTATCCTCACCGCCTATGAAGTCTTTCCGCCTGGCTCCGCCTCCCGCACCGACAGGACGGGATCCATGTTGGACGTCACTCCCTGGTTCCGATTCCCATACCCAGGTGAGCCATCCTGCGTGTGTCACATCTGACCCATAAACCACTACTGTGTGCTCATCCTTGGCTGGTTCTGGTAAAAAAAAAATATATAGATTAAAACAAGCACAAAATACAAAGGCTAGGCATTTTTTTTTTTAATAATTCCATTAGTGTCCTAGTGTTTCTATTAAAAATCTGGTGTTGCATTCTGGTATTGCCATTTAAATGGCCTAATTTCCACTGAAACTAGGCCATTTAAAATGGCTTTCCAACTTTGCTTCTTATAAAAGACGTTTGTGTTAACTAAATGCAATGGTATTATATACCATTTTCAACACATCTTCAGTTATAACATTGTTAGAATAAATACGACAGTGAACTTTTATTTAATGCAAATTAATTTTTGTTTTAAATAAGACAGATTTATTTAATTTCACATATAAGATAGAGCTCATTTTAGGCATCTAAATGTTAAAAGTGCTTAGTACCCTCCAGGGTTCAATGAGTTTAAATAACTGGAAAAAAATTGTATTCATACCCCTGTACTTTTGTGGCATTGGTCTTAGGGTTGTTATGTAGAGGTTTTTAGAGAGTTCCCGAGCTTAACTTATAAAAGCAACAATTTCTGTACCGAACTGTGTCAATATATTCTTGCAGTAACTCAGAAAATATAAGCCTAAACATCACGAATATTAATTAACTGATGTTAAAATTAGTAACTCGGTTTAGCCTTTCCTGGGACATTGTATTGAGTTAAAGAAACTAAGACTATCATCGTCTTTAGCAAGATTAGTCAAGTTGGGTTAGTATGTTTTGGCCTGGTCACAGACCAGGCCGCGGGGGCGTCGACCCCAGGAACTCCCTCTCTCTCCAGGTATACACAATTTTAAAAGGTACTCAAAGGTCTAAGCTCCCTGGGGTTGTAGTCAGATCATTACGGCTGTGAGCTGGACACTCCGGCAGTAGTAAACAGCGTTGTCCCAAACCCTTTCTCTGGCGCCTCTACCACTGCTACTACTACTGCTACTTCTAGTACCAGCATTACGTCTGTTACTGTTGGCCGCACTGAGCTGACTGAGCACTCTATAATATTCTCAGTCATTATATCTCGGGTGACCTAGACTCTACATAAATATGGTCTGGTAATGTTGTTTAGAAGCTAAAATCGTTATTAATGTAGCTTAGATGGTGCTCCTAGAAGCTTAGCGGTGAGGCAGCTTTATTCACAACACAGGTGAAAAGTTTGCTTTATGTAACATTAAAATAACTACTGAACAATTTGGACAACCTGTGTCATGACCTTCCGAACTAGTGGTGAATTTTAATGCAGCTTAGTATAACATCCATGATGCTCTGGTCTACCCTGGGGCTTAACGTAGTGTATATGATATTATTCCAGTGTGGCACGAAACACTGAATGATATTAATTTATGGAAATCCTTGTACGTGTGTGTGCTATGGCTGTCAAGATTACATGTACCTTGAATTAATAAATGGTTCTTTCAGGACAATGGGGATTACCTCGAGTGAGCGTGGCAGGCACAGTAGGGATGCTGGCAGCTGTGTTCTCGTCTATTATAGAGAGTGTGGGAGACTACTACGCTTGTGCCAGAGTCGCAGGTATATTCTTTGACCTTACCTGACTCTTTATCAAGTTTTGTGTGTGTGTGGGGGGGGGGGGGTCGAGTCTTGGCGCCTACACCTGATTCTTAATTAAACCCTAAAAAAATATAAAATACACACAACACCTGGGTATCTTTAACGGAGAAGCGTTTTGCCTGTGTCGCACGTATTATTAATTTCCTGCAGAGGTGTCAGGGCCAGGGTCGAACCCTGGCCTGCCGCAGTTTGGTAAATATTTCAGTACCACTTGTTTCGTGGTTTCATTGCTAAATACACACACACACACACACACACACACACACACACACACACACACACACACACACACACACACACACACACACACACACACACACACACACATATATATATATATATATATATATATATATATATATATATAATCACCAATTTATGTCCTCGTAAGACATAACCACTACAAACATAAAAATCGTCATTAAAATTTATTATTATTATTGTTAACGTCCAACATATTTGCTTATTATCTTTATTCATTGTTCATTACGACTTATCTTTGGATTATGAGTTATAGTTACTTCCAGTTCAGTTATCTCTGTCTTTCATCTCAGTTATCTCTCAGGGTTTCAAGTCCGCTACCAACACAATATTGTTTTTAAATCGGTCTGAACAGATAGGGAGCCAAGGCCGGGTCACCACTACTTGGAAAAGACCCGGGCCGGGAGAGTACCGGCGAATAAAAAAAAAAAAAAAAAAAAAAAAACCTTTCCACCTAGTATCACACACTTACACATGCCTGCTGTATGTCCAAGCCCCTTGCACACAAAACCCTCTTTTTACCTCTCCCTCCCTCCCTTTCCTAGGACGCCCCCTCCACTACAAATTAATATACCCTTCAAGTCAACCTATTTTGCTCCATCCTCTCTAAATGACCAATCCTCCTCAATAGCCCCCCCCCCTCAGTACGTTGCCTCCTTCACTTAAATAATTTTTGTCGACCTTCATAATTCTTTGTGTTTTGTATTGATTTTTTTTCAGACTTGAATCAAATATCATTGTTTCTGACCCTACAGGCGCGCCTCTGCCACCTGTACACGCCATTAACCGCGGTATTGGCGTGGAGGGCATTGGTTGTATGATGGCAGGCCTCTGGGGTACAGGCAGCGGCACCACGTCTTACTCAGGGAACATTGGTGTTATCTCCATCACTAAGGTGAGTTAACAGGCAGCAGCACATGTTACTCAGGCAACATTGATGTTCACCTCCATGGAGCTGAACTCTTGTCCAGACTGAGGGACTGACCACTGATGGACTGATTATATCATCTTTACCTCGCTACTACTACTGTCTACAATACATTCTCCCCTGTAGTTGACTGAAGAAGCCTACCGCGTAGGTGAAATAATTCAGCAATAAAGATAACCAAGTGTTGCACATGTATCCTAGTCATCAGCTTTTCTGTATTTTATACTCTTTTCAACATTAGCCTAAAAATAAACTTAAAGCTACTGGATAAATAATTAATTTGGTGGAGAAGAATACTCAAGTTTACAATGCTTGACATTAACTCTTAACACTTTGGTTTACGATTATGCCAGTGCTGGTTTTTTGTGTAAAAACAATTTGTTATAAGGTTACAATTAGAATATATTTGTCTGGTTTAGCAGGCGAATGGTTCTAGTTGCTTAAGTTACAATACAAAATATTAGGGAGTATGTGGTTATCAAACAATAAATGGTTGAAAGAAAGCCGAACAAGGATAGTGATAAGATTGGATGAAAACAGTTGGTTCAACGATTAGTTTATCCAAATATATTGATGCCAGTATCATAATAAGGAAAGGAGGCGCTCATTAACTGTAGTTTCGAAGCAGTTGGCAGTTCGGGACGTCATCTAGCTTCCAGCTGTCGCCGTAGATCAGATCTTTGCACAAGTGTTAGATGCACCTTACTTCACCTTTTCCAGGTTAAATGTTACATCTTGTAGCACTACAAAGATTGCAACTCTTTGCCATGATTCTATCCTTCCTCCTCTGACTTGACGTCGTCACCTGACCAGCAAGGCATGCATATGCTGAATATACACCTCACTTTACAATTTACCTAAGTGGAAGGCCAGACGAGTGATACAATACAGTATGGAAGTAATAATGGTATGTATAATGCAGGTGGGTAGCAGACGAGTTATACAATACAGTATGTTAGTAATAATGGTGTGTATAATGCAGGTGGGTAGCATACGAGTGATACAATACAGTATGGAAGTAATAATGGTGTGTATAATGCAGGTGGGTAGCAGACGAGTGATACAATACAGTGTGGTAGTAATAATGGTGTGTATAATGCAGGTGGGGAGCAGACGAGTGATACAATACTGTGGTACTAACAATGGTGTGCATAATGCAGGTGGGTAGCAGACGAGTGATACAATACAGTGGGATCATCATGGTGGTGTGTGGTGTAGTGGCCAAGGTGGGTGCCATGTTCGTCACCATCCCTGGCCCTGTCATAGGTGGCGTCTTCATTATCAAATTCTCCATGATCACTGCCGTGGGACTCTCCACCCTCCAGCACGTCGACCTCACCTCCTCAAGGAACCTCTTCGTTCTAGGCTTCTCCATCTTCTTCGGCCTCGCTCTTCCCAAGGTCAGCTCAGCAGGCGATGATTAGGATTATTATTATTAGCATTAGTAGTAGTAATTATTAATAGTATAATTTTATTACTATTAATGTTATCAGTAATAGGAGTAATATTTTATTATTAGTAGTAGTAGTATTTATTATTATAATTATTATTATAACTATTATTTGAGGTGGATTATTAATATAATTATGGGGAGCGCTAAACCCGTAGGATTATTCAGGCTCAATTCAGGGAACTGGAGCACAGATCCAGTTCCCTAGATCAAGAGCCCCTCACCAACGTCAAGGAACCTCCCTTGAGGGGTTGTTGAGGTGGAAGGAAGGAAGATGGAGGGCAGACTATAAACAATATCATTCCATGGAAGAAACCCTGGAGAGAATTTAATAAACGTTGAACATGTGTCACTTTAAACCCTTTTTGCTCGTGTGCGTTATGATAAAAATAAACAATAGTTTTCTAGATACTGTTAATTAAATGGGAGTCACTTCTTTAGAATCGTTGCATAGGCAACCATGTCAGTCCCGGATGCACTCTGGAACATAAACAGTGGGTACCCACTGACCAAAACTTGTTTTATACAAGATTCAAAAAATCACCATTCCCACGAGCCCTTCTAGGGCGGGGAAAGTGCCAGAGCTTGCTACCACCTGCAGCTCACAAGACTGCCATTCCCACGAGCCCCCCTGGGACGGGGAAAATGACAGACCAGAGGCCTAGCTTCTCCCTACGAGCTTCCCTGGGGCGGGAAGATGACAGACCAGAGGCCTAGCTTCCCCTACGAGCCCCGTGAGGGTTGGGAATGGGGCTAGGGCAGGAGGCAGTTGGTCCCAGAATATGAGGAGATACTTGTACCTCTTCCCATGGCAGACAGGTCTCAGACACTTCCAAGATAGGGAGCCAAGGCCGTGTCACCATCTGGAAAAGACTCGGGCCGGAAGAGTAAAAGAGAATATTAAAAAAAAAAAAGATTCAAACAGTGTGAAATAGAAAAAATACAAATGTAATGAATTTAGTTAATATATTAGCTAGAAGTGTAGAGAAAAAATCTAAACTTAACATTATTGAAACTATATCAACTACTTCATCTTAAAATTTTGTCTTTCAATGGGGTGGAGGGGTAAGCCAGTGGAAGGCCTCAGTCAGATGACCAAAAGCTCCAGCTGTGGGTCACCATATAACTAAAACCTGCGTCAGGAAGCACTTGTCCTGTTTCCTGTTGAATCTTACCTAACCTAACCTTGATTTTTTCTGCTTCAAAACACTTGATGCACACCTTACACAGCCATTTATCTCAACAGGCAAGGAGGTGCTTTTAACGCCCTTTTATACAAATTGAATTGTAACTCAGGTAAAGTAGAACACGGGGAATATCAGAGATTTTTGTCTTTTATTATGCCTATGAATTCAGAATTTCAGAGCAAGGTTTATGATGGAACTGAACCCACACACACATACACACAGTGACGTAGTGGAGGCAGGAACCATATATAGTTTGAGGAGGCTTGATAAAGCTCATGGAGCAGGGAGAGAGAGGACCTAGTAGCGATCAGTGAAGAGGCGGGGTCAGGAGCAATGACTCGGCCCCTGCAACCACAAATAAGTGAGTACACAAATATGCACAGAAGCATGAATGGATGTTTTCTACATTGTGTAGTTTTTTGAAGAGTAGGAGAACGTGTTGTCTGTCACTAACTTGGGTAATCGTTCTCACAGAGGCTTTTTGTTGAGTCATTATTGGTTTTAGGTCCCCAGGATAGGCACAAATACCATAGGTGAGGTCGGGATGGATTAGATAGTAGAACATAGTGAGTAGTGCTGTTTGAGGTACATAACGTATCTTAGAGAAGATGCCTAGTGTTGTGGAGACCTTGATTATGTGGTGGATTTGGCTATTGAATTACAAGTTGTCAAGGCAGAGACCTACGAATTTTCCCTCGCAGCCTAGAATAACCCAACACAGCCAGTGTAACAGGTATATCCTAGGATAAGCCAACACAGCCAGTGTAGCTGATATATACTAGGATAACCCAACACAGCCAGTGTAGCTGATATATACTAGGATAACCCAACACAGCCAGTGTAGCTGATATATACTAGGATAAGCCAACACAGCCAGTGTGACTGATGTCTATCATCAATACTTAACAGTGGTTGGAAGTGAACCCATCAGCACTGAACACCGGGGAGCCACTGTTGGATCAGACACTGCTGGTGCTTCTACATACACCTATGTTCTTGGGAGGCCTTATCGGTCTAATCCTGGACAACACTATCCCAGGTTAGTAGTTGCTCAGAGGCCTTTTAGATATATATAATAAAGATGCATGCTGATGACAGAGTATGCCAATAAATCTATTTTTTATATTTGTGTACATGTCTGTGTATATTTTGTACACAATATATATATATATATATATATATATATATATATATATATATATTATATATATATATATATATATATATATATAACTTGATGCTGGTGAGGGGCTTTTGATCTGGGAAATTGGATCTGTGCTCTGGTTCCCTGAATTGATAATAATAATAATAATAATAATAATAATAATAATAATAATAATAATAATATAATACATATTATTATTATAATAATGATAGAGCTTCGGTTCCCTAAATTAGGTAGTAGGTTGGTAGACAGCAACCACCCAGGGAGGTACTACCGTCCTGCCAAGTGAGTGTAAAACGAAAGCGTGTAATTGTTGTACATGATGGTAGGATTGCTGGTGTCTTTTGTCTGTCTCATAAATATGCAAGATTACAGGTACGTCTTGCTACTTCTACTTACACTTAGGTCACACTATACACACATGTACAAGCATATATATACACACACCCTTCTGGGTTTTTTGCCATTTACTTTCTAGTTCTTGTTCTTATTTCCTCTTATCTCCATGGGGAAGTGGAACAGAATTCTTCCTCCGTAAGCCATGCGTGTTGTAAGAGGCAACTAAAATGCCAGGGGCAAGGGGCTAGTAACCCCTTCTCCTGTATATATATTACTAAATGTAAAAGGAGAAACTTTCGTTTTTCCTTTTGGGCCACCCTGCCTCGGTGGGATACGGCCGGTGTGTTGAAAGAAGAAAGATATATATATATATATATATATATTTTATATATATATATATATATATATATATATATATATATATATATATTAAAGATGGCAGGACTGCAGGAGGCTTACTGGCCCATGCTAGGCAGGTCTATCTCTGATGCCGTCTGCCACTTCACCTCACCTGTCTGCAGTACATATGTATGCGTGTGCTGTATACTTTGATGGACTGAACACATCGATTTCAGACTAAGGGACTGATTACCTCACACACCCCCTCATCTTCCACCATTCTTTGTATTAGACTAAAGAAGTTACTGGCTGGCGAAACGTTTCCAGAATAAAGGTACCCAAATGTTGCACAAGTGTCTCCATTATGAATCTGTCGGTTTCCTAACCCATTTATACAAGTACATAGGAAGCGCACAGCAACGACCTATTAACCCATGCTGGCAGACTGTGCACTTAATCAACAACTAACTCTATTGTCCGACCTGTACCTCTATTCCGAAGAATTGATGGAGACCGTAACGGGATATATACCCTGAGGGGAGGATCATAGAGGAGACCGTAGCGAAGATAAGATTTCGTTCGGATTTTTAACCCCGGAGGGTTAGCCACCCAGGATAACCCAAGAAAGTCAGTGCGTCATCGAGGACTGTCTAAAGTATTTCCATTGGGGTCCTCAATCTTGTCCCCCAGGATGCGACCCACACCAAGGTACCTATTTGCTGCTAGGTGAACAGGGCAATAGTGTAAGGAAACGTGTCGAAATGTTTCCACCCGCCGGGAATCGAACCCGGGCCCTCCGTGTGTGAAGCGGGAGCTTTACCACCAGGCCACCGAGATCTTCCGTACTACTCCTGAAGGCTCGTTTCACTTGTGTTAATATACACCTCGCCTAAGCACGAGTGTGTTTCTAGTCTAAATGGTGTTGCGTGGAAGGTATCCCTTAACCACAAAGCCCTCTACCCTGACCAGGGAAGTGGAAACTATCGAACTTAAGCTAAATGACTCTTACAGGAACCAGGAGAGGCAGGAGGAGCTTAAAGCTATTAGTGAAATTGAAAGAAATTCAAAATATTTCTTTTCATATGCCAAAAACAAGGCAAATACCACATCTAGTATCGGGCCCTTACTCAGACAGGATGGGACTTACACAGATGACAACAAGGAAATGAGTGAAATATTGAAATCCCAGTACGACTCTGTGTTTAGTGAGCCACTAATCGGTCTGAGGATCGACGACCCAAATGATTTCTTCATGAATGAGCCTCAAAACTCCATAAATGTATGCCAGATTTCCGACATTACCCTAACTCCGATAGATTTCGAAAAAGCCATTGACAACATGCCTATGCACTCAGCCCCGGGCCCAGACTCGTGGAACTCTGTTTTCATTAAGAACTGCAAGAAACCCCTCTCGTGTGCCCTAAGTACACTATGGAGGAGGAGCTTGGACATGGGTGAAATTCCACAGTCACTTAAAACAACGGATATAGCCCCACTCCATAAAAGGTGGCAGCAAAGCATTAGCTAAGAACTATAGACCAATAGCTCTGACGTCCCACATCATAAAAATCTTTGAAAGAGTGCTAAGAAGCAGGATTACAAATCACCTGGATTCCCAAAATCTGCACAATCCAGGGCAACATGGGTTCAGGGCAGGTCGCTCCTGCCTCTCACAACTACTGGATCCCTATGACATGGCCTTGGATGCACTGGAAAGAAAATCAGAATGCAGATGTAATATACACAGACTTTGCAAAAGCATTTGACAAATGCGATCATGGCGTAATAGCCCATAAAATACGTGCTAAAGGAAATAACTGGGGAAAAGTGGGGAGATGGATCTTCAACTTCCTAACAAATCGAACACAAAGAGTAGTGGTCAACAGAGTTAAATCGGAGGCTGCCATAGTAAAGAGCTCTGTTCCACAAGGCACAGTACTCGCCCCATCTTATTCCTTATCCTCATATCAGACATAAACAGAGATATACACCACAGCACCGTATCATCCTTTGCGGATGATACTAGGATCTGCATGAGGCTGTCATCTGCTGAGGACGCGGTTAACCTCCAAGAAGATATAAACAAAGTTTTCCAGTGGGCAACGGTAAACAATATGATGTTCAATGAGGACAAATTCCAACTACTCCGTTATGGAAAACTGGAGGAGATAATAACTAGAACAGAGTATACTACTGACTCCGGCCATACAATAGAGCGGAAAAATAATGTAAGGGACCTGGGAGTAGTAATGTCTGAGGATCTCACTTTCAAGGATCACAACAGTGCCACGATCGCACGTGCAAAGAAAATGATAGGATGGATAATGAGAACTTTCAAAACAAGAGATGCCAAGCCCATGATGATCCTTTTCAAATCACTTGTTCTCTCTAGGCTGGAATACTGCTGTACATTAACATCTCCATACAAAGCAGGTGAAATCGCAGATCTAGAGAGTGTACAGAGATCCTTTACTGCACGTATAAGTTCTGTCAAGCACCTTAACTACTGGGAACGCTTGGAAGCACTTGACTTGTACTCGTTGGAACGCAGGAGGGAGAGATATATCATAATCTACACTTGGAAAATCTTGGAAGGAATGGTCCCAAATCTGCACACAGAAATCACTCCCTACGAAAGTAAAAGACTGGGCAGGCGATGCAAAATGCCCCAACAAAAAGTAGGGGCGCCATTGGTACACTAAGGGAAAACACCATAAGTGTCCGGGGCCCAAAAACTATTCAACAGCCCCCCATCAAGCATTAGGGGAATTGCCAATAAACCCCTGGCTGCCTTCAAGAGAGAGCTGGACAGATACCTAAAATCAGTGCCGGATCAGCCGGGCTGTGGCTCGTACGTTGGACTGCGTGCGGCCAGCAGTAACAGCCTAGTTGATCAGGCCCTGATCCATCGGGAGGCCTGGTCATGGACCGGGCCGCGGGGGCGTTGATCCCCGGAATAACCTCCAGGTAACCTCCAGGTAAGTTATCCATGACAAGTATCCCTCGACCGCAGCCTAAAGTACCTCAGTGAGCCATGTTAGGTATCCCCAGTATCCCTTAACCACAGCCTCCTGAACCTTAGTGATCCATGATAGGTCTTCCCAGTATCCCTTAACCACAGCCTCCTGTACCACATTGATCCATGATAGGTATCCCGTAACCACAGCGCCATGTACCTCAACCCGCGCAAGAGGCACTGACCTTTATGTGTACTTTCTATCACAGGCACTGACCTTTATGTGTACTTCCTGACACAGGCACTGACCTTGATGTGCACTTCCTGACACAGGCACTGACCTTGATGTGTACTTCCTGACACAGGCACTGACCTTGATGTGTACTTCCTGTCACAGACACTGACCTTGATGTGTACTTCCTGACACAGGCACTGACCTTGATGTGTACTTCCTGACACATGCACTGACCTTGATGTGTACTTCCTGACACAGGCACTGACCTTGATGTGTACTTCCTATCACAGACACTGATCTTGATGTGTACTTCCTGTCACAGACACTAACCTTGATGTGTACTTCCTGTCACAGACACTGACCTTGATGTGTACTTCCTGCCACAGACACTGGCCTTGATGTGTACTTCCTGTCACAGACAATGACCTTGATGTGTACTTCTTGTCACAGACACTGACCTTGATGTGTACTTCCTGACACAGGCACTGACCTTGATGTGTACTTCCTGACACAGGCACTGACCTTGATGTGTACTTCCTGACACAGGCACTGACCTTGATGTGTGCTTCCTGACACAGGCACTGACCTTGATGTGCACTTCATGTCACAGACACTGACCTTGATGTGTACTTCCTGTCACACACTGATCTTGATGCGTACCTCCTGTCACAGACACTGACCTTGATGTGTACTTTCTGTCACAGACACTGACCTTGATGTGTACTTCCTGGCACAGGCACTGACCTTGATGTGTACTTCCTGACACATCCACTGACCTTGATGTGTACTTCCTGTCACAGACACTGACCTTGATGTGTACTTCCTGTCACAGACACTGACCTTGATGTGTACTTCCTGACACAGGCACTGACCTTAATGTGTACTTCCTGGCAGGCACTGACCTTGATGTGTACTTCCTGTCACAGACACTGACCTTGATGTGTACTTCCTGACACAGGCACTTACCTTGATATTTACTTCCTGCCACAGGCACTGACGAGGAGCGAGGGGTACTGAGGTGGAGAGGAGAGACATTTGGCGCTCAGCAGGATCAGGATGAAGATGACAGACTCACGTCAAGATGCTACGAGCTTCCCTTTGGCACTCCTGGCACTCAGAAGTTAGTTGTGGTGGTGATAGTGTATTGTGGTTAGTGTGTTGTGGTGTATATGTGCTATAGATCACACCTAGTGCATATACACCGAGAGATATACACACATCAGTGTATATATGTACCATGAAAGATGCACACTCCAGTGTATATACTGAGATATGCACACCTTTCGTATATATTCAAATTCAAATTCAAATTCAAAGTTTATTCTCTATAAGGATTACAATGCTGAGTTTACAGAATTTGGTTATTGTGTGGTTTACATGTGGTAAAATAATGATTACAGAGTGTACCACTAGAACACCTAGCATGGCTAGGCATTTCAGGCAGACTCAGTTTAATTCTTAATTTTAAAATATTACAAATTATGAGGTAAGTTGGTATTATGGCTAAGTGACTAAATACTAGTTTGTGAGTTTAGCAATGTGAATGCTTTTGTTTTGGGCACAGTACATAATTTCAGTATTGGAGTATCACAAAGGGTTCATTATTTTAAGATTGAGAAATTTAAAATTTTGTTTTTTAGTCAAATGGGTGAGTGGTGTAAGTGTGAACCACCAGGTGGTATTCGTGTAGTTAGTTGATGGGGGGGTATCAGGGAGATATATGTTTTTATGGGAGTTTTTGAAGGGATGAATGGTCTGCATTTAGAGTTTCAGGAGGGTGTTCCGATTTTAGGGGGCCTTTTTCATACATTGAATTTTTTTTAAAGGTTTTTGTCGGACACGGGGAAAAGTCGTGAGGGTTTTGTGTCTGGTGTTATGCCTGTGGGGTTTTCACAACATCAAAAAAGCGTTTTAGGGCAAGGTTGTATTGGGGTTTAAGGGCCCGTAGATGTAATTTCACAAGTAAGTGGGTGTACGAACAGGGGGTAAATTTTTACTATGAAGGGGGGGGGTTGCCAGGGATGGGATTTAGTGATTATTCTTACTGCAGATTTTTGTTGGGTTATTATTGGCTTTAGGTGTGTTGCTGCAGTTGATCCCCAAGCACAAATAGCATAGGTGAGGTATGGATAAATAAGTGAGTGGTATAGTGTGAGAAGGGCATTTTGCAGCACGTAGTATTGTATCTTGGAGAGGATCCCAACCGTTTTGGATACTTTTTTGGTTATGTGTTGGATATGGGTGCTGAAATTCAGGTTGTTGTCAAGGTATAGGCCTAGGAATTTGCCCTCATTATGTCTGGTAATTAGAGTGTTGTCGATCTTAATGTTAATTTGTGCATCTCCTGCTCTGCTACCAAACATAATATAGTAGGTTTTGTCAGTGTTAAGCGTAAGTTTATTGGCTGTCATCCAAGTCGACATTTTGATCAGCTCCTCGTTAACAATGGTGTTGAGGGTGGCAAGATTAGGGTGAGAGATCACATAAGTCGTGTCGTCAGCAAGAGAATGGGGTTTCAGGTGTGGGATACGTTTGGAAGATCATTGATGTATATGAGGAAGAGCAGGGGACCAAGGACACTTCCCTGCGGAACTCCAGTATCAAGTGGCCATGTTGTTGATGCTGTGTCTTTAATGGTGACATACTGATACCTATTAGTAAGGTAAGATTTGAAATAAGCAAGCGCATGGCCTCTTATACCGTAATGGTCAAGTTTGTGGAGTAGGATGTCGTGGTCTACTGTGTCAAAAGCTTTTCTTAGGTCAATGAAAATTCCTAGTGGATATTCCTTATTTTCCAATGCTGTGTAAACCAGATCTAGCATTTTTATGATTGCATCATTAGTGCTTTTATTTTTCCTGAATCCAAATTGGCAGGGGTTGAGTATGTTTTGTGCCGTTATAAATTAATATAGTCTCCTGTGCACGAGTTTCTCAAAGATTTTGGATAGCAATGGTAAGTTTGATATTGGCCCATAGTTGTTTAAGTCTGTAGGGTCACCACCTTTATGTATTGGTGTAACCCTTGCCATCTTGAGTAGTTTTGGGAAGGTGCTAGTTTCTAGTGACTTGTTAAAAAGTAATGAAATAGCATGCGAAAGGACATGGGCCGCTCGCTTGTACAGTAATGGTGGGACATGAGACAGATTCTCTGAGTTATTTTTAAGTGGCTTTATAATCTCGGTGACTTCCGTGGGCTCAGTTGGTGCAAGATAGAAGGAATTTGGGAAATTCCCATCTAGGTACTCCCCGGCATGGGCATTGGTATGTGGGATTTTATTGGCGAGATTAGATCCTATGGTTGAGAAGAAGTCGTTTATCTTGCTAACTGTGTCAGTGGGATGTAGTGGCGTTTCATTAGGTTTAGTTAGGACAATATTCTTGTTTTTTTTTAGTTTGTGGGTCCCTAGAATCTGAGAGAGTGTTTTCCAGGTCTTTTTTATATCTCCTCTAGTGTCTGTGAATCTACTGGAGTAGTATAGTTGTTTGGCTTTCTTTATTACTTTGGTGAGAACTGATGAATAGTGTTTAAGAATATCTTTGTGTATTAAGCCCTGTCTATATTGCTTTTCATATTGGTGTTCCTTGTCAATGGATTTCAGAATGGTGCTGGTTAGCCATGGGCAACCAAGCCGTTTGTTTGTGATCTGTTTCGTTTTTATAGGAAAATGTTTGTTGTATAGTCTAAGTAATTTGTTAAGAAAAATGTCTGTCCAGTCATCAATACCATTGGCCTTGGAGAATTCTGTAGGCCAGTCAACAGTCTCTAGGTCAGCTGTGAACTTCCTTATTGAGGCCTCTTCATGGAGTCTAAATGAGACTTTGTTGTATTCAAGTGGATGTTTACTAATGTTTGTCAGGAGGAAGGTAGGGTAGTGGTCTGTAGTGCTATCTATGATTATCCCTGATTTAAGGGGGGCTAATATGTTGGTCCATATGTGGTCTATTATGGTTGCACTTGTCTCAGTGAGCCTGGTTGGTTTAGTTATTGTTGGTATGAGAAGTGTGTTGTTCATATTGTTGATGAAATCACAAAGGGGGCAGTAAAGCAACAGCAAAGAACTACAGACCAATAGCACTAACATCCCATATCATAAAAATCTTTGAAAGGGTCCTAAGAAGCAAGATCACCACGCATCTAGAAACCCATCAGTTACACAACCCAGGGCAACATGGGTTTAGAACAGGTCGCTCCTGTCTGTCTCAACTATTGGACCACTACGACAAGGTCCTAAATGCACTAGAAGACAAAAAGAATGCAGATGTAATATATACAGACTTTGCAAAAGCCTTCGACAAGTGTGACCATGGCGTAATAGCGCACAAAATGCGTGCTAAAGGAATAACAGGAAAAGTCGGTCGATGGATCTATAATTTCCTCACTAACAGAACACAGAGAGTAGTCGTCAACAGAGTAAAGTCCGAGGCAGCTACGGTGAAAAGCTCTGTTCCACAAGGCACAGTACTCGCTCCCATCTTGTTCCTCATCCTTATATCCGACATAGACAAGGATGTCAGCCACAGCACCGTGTCTTCCTTTGCAGATGACACCCGAATCTGCATGACAGTGTCTTTCATTGCAGACACTGCAAAGCTCCAGGCAGACATCAACCAAATCTTTCAGTGGGCTGCAGAAAACAATATGAAGTTCAACGATGAGAAATTTCAATTACTCAGATATGGTAAACATGAGGAAATTAAATCTTCATCAGAGTACAAAACAAATTCTGGCCACAAAATAGAGCGAAACACCAACGTCAAAGACCTGGGAGTGATCATGTCGGAGGATCTCACCTTCAAGGACCATAACATTGTATCAATCGCATCTGCTAGAAAAATGACAGGATGGATAATGAGAACCTTCAAAACTAGGGAGGCCAAGCCCATGATGACACTCTTCAGGTCACTTGTTCTATCTAGGCTGGAATATTGCTGCACACTAACAGCACCTTTCAAGGCAGGTGAAATTGCCGACCTAGAAAATGTACAGAGAACTTTCACGGCGCGCATAACGGAGATAAAACACCTCAATTATTGGGAGCGCTTGAGGTTCCTAAACCTGTATTCCCTGGAACGCAGGAGGGAGAGATACATGATTATATACACCTAAAAAATCCTAGAGGGACTAGTCCGAACTTGCACACGAAAATCACTCATTACAAAAGCAAAAGATTGGCGGGAGATCCCCCATCCCCCCAATGAAAAGCAGGGGTGTCATACACGTTAAAAAACCATCAATAAGTGTCGGGGCCCGAGATTTTTTCAACTCCCTCCCCCCCCACAAAAGGGGGAAATTACCAACAGACCCCGGGCGTTTTTCAAGCTGGCACGGAAAAAGCACCTAAATCATTTCGGATCACCCGGGCTGTGGCTCGTTTTTTGGGTTTTTGCGTGCAGCCACAGCAACGCCTGGTTGTCAGGCTCTGATCCCCCAGGAGGCCGGGTCTCGGGCCCGGGCCGCGGGGGCGTTGCCCCCGGGGGAACTCTTCCAGGTAAACTCCGGGTAAACGGGCTGATCTTAGTATGCCAGGTTGATGTTAAAAGTCCCAGCTAAGAAAAAGGTGGTGCTTATTCTTTTGTCTGTTTGTTATTAGTGCTTTAATTTCTCACTGAAATTTGGGTTTTTTGTGTGAGGTATCTGAAAAAGGGAAACCGATTGTTATAGGTGTCTTAAGGTTTTTTACAGTAAAAAATTAGAAAAAAATGTATTCCCCATTTTCATCACAAAAGCAAGTGGTTGCTAATAAAAGATATTGTTCGAGTAATAGATTGCAATACCCCCCCCAATTTGGGTTTTGGCTGCAGTTGGAATTGCTGTGTATCCTGGTAGGGGTAGATTTATTTTGTCCTGTTAAGCCAGGTCTCATAAAAAAAATTCAGGAGGGGGGTTTTGTCTTTATGATTAAGGAGTGCCGGGGGGGTCATCATGTGTTTGCTTAAAGGGCCTGATTTGTAGTTAAGACGACGACTTTTTTGATTGTTTAGGATAGTGTGCTTGTGGGTGTGTTAATAAAAGGGATTTTTCCCAAAAGGTTTTTATTGGGTGCAGATTATGGGGGGTTTTTGATCAGGGGTCCGGATCAAAACATTTCAGGTTTAAATTGGGTTTTTTTATCCTGAGTTTTGGTTGAGTTTAGTACTGATATTGTAGTGGTGGGGTGGCTAACTCCGCTTCAACAAAGGGGGGGCCCGGGTTCGATTCCGGCGGGTGGAAAAAATTTCGAGACTTTCCTTACACCTGTTGTCCGTTCCCTAGCAGCAAATAGGTACCTGGGTGTTAGTCGATGGTGTGGGTCGCACCTGGGGGGGGCAGATTTAAGGACCCCAAAGGAAATAAGTTAGCATCCTCGATGGGCGCACTGACTTTCTTGGGTTTTTTTGGGTGGCTAACCCTCCGGGGTTAAAAAATCCGAACAAATTTACTCCTCCTCTCTTTGGAAATTTTGGAAAGTATATAGCTAGAGTATTTTGGTCATGTAGAGTAAGTCACTACACACATAATGAAGTTGATGTTTTCTATGTGTTGTGCTGGAATGAATTAAAAATACAACTAGGTATAAATAGTAATATAAAAAACAAAAAATTAAAAATAGAACAAGACTTCACTTGAAAATTTCACTAAGGTCTAAAATAATGACTTTTTTGGAGTCTATGTTTTTTAGTGAATGAGCTATATACAACTAGGTTTAATTAATAATATAAAAATACAAATTAAAAATAGCACCAGTCTCTCACTAGTAATTGCACTATGGTCTAATATAATGAATTTGGTATTGACTATGTATTGAGCTAGAATGAGCTATAGTACAACTGAGTTTAATCTAATAATATAAAAAAGGCACAAGACTCTCAATTGTAATTGCACTAAGGTCTTATATAAGTTGTTTACAAGAATTAGAGTATAACTATTGTTATCTATGCCTTATAAACTTGCAAATTCACAACATCTCGGATGGAGGAAACGTTACACGACGTTTCGGTTAGCAATGGGCCATTACCAAGTCACCATTGATTTGTGCTTCAGGGAAGACCGAAACGTCTTCTCAGTTCTCCTCTCTTAGTGTGATTTGTATTCTCGTTTTTTTAACGAAACGTGGTCTTGATTTTTTTTTTACCTGCTACTGTCATGTTTATGTTTTGCAAACTTTTGATTTTTTTTATGTATTATGATCTTGTGCTTACTAATTGTTGATTTGTGTTTATCTTTTCGTATTGTGTATTAATATCGTAGTGTAGCACGTTTGAAGCTGTGTATTTTGCCAGTTTCCAGTGTGATTTGTTAGTTTCTCTAGTCTTCCCCCTTTTATTCGTCTCTGTTATTTGTCCCTGGTGTGTATGATGCATATAAATTCATTAGTTTACATGAAATATACATGGGAGGTGTACATACATGGATACGTGAGATATATGACTATATAACCAACACAAACATGTTTTTTTTTTTTTTATTCGCCGGTATTCTCCCGGCCCGGGTCTTTTCCAAGTAGTGGTGACCCGGCCTTGGCTCCCTATCTGGGGAGTGTCTCGAGACTTAAGTCTCCCATGGGAGGAGGTATAGTACCTCCTCATCTTTGAGACCAAGTGTCCCCAGTTAGTTAGTTAGTTAGTTAAAGATTAGCCGGTATTCTCCCGGCCCGGGCCTTGTCCAAGTGGTAGCCCGGCCTTGGCTCCCTCTTTAGGGAGTGTCTGAGACCTAAGTCTCCCATGGGAGGAGGCACAAGCACCTCCTCATCTTTGGGACCAACTGTCCCCAGGCCTAGCCACAAGCTAGGCCTCTCTGGTCTGCCATCCCCGCCCCAAGGGGGCTAATGGGAATGACAGTCTTATGAGCTAAAGGCTCGGGCTCAGGCACCTACCCTACCCTAGAAGGGCTGGGCATGGTATCGATGCGTAGAGAGAAGCTAGGCCTCTGGACGTGAGATATATGACTATATAACCAACACAAACCTGAGAATTTTATGCAAATTTATTTCACTTTTACAAGAAAGGTTAAGGATGATACTGAGAATAAGATGAAAAATATATTACATAATTTATGTTAATAAAAATAATATTCTTTGATTTACATTACAGAAGGAAGTGGACTAAATACTTACCGTTCTGCCCGAGCTTCGAGGGTTACTTCTGCTGTGAGTCACTGAGAAACAGAGTGAAGAATGTGTGTTAATGCAGTGAAGAACAGTGCTAGTGCAGTGATAAGAGTGAAGAACAGTGCTAGTGCAGTGATAAGAGTGAAGAACGGTGCTAGTGCAGTGATAGAGAGCAGAACAGTGTATTAGGGCAGTGATAGAAGAACAGTGTTAGTGCACTTATCTAGTGAAGAACAGTGATAGTGAAGAACAGTGAGTGAAGAACAGTGTGTTAGGGCAGTGAATGAAGAACAGTGTTAGTGCAGTGATCGAGTGAAGAACAGTGTGTTAGGGCAGTGAGTGAAGAACAGTGAGTGAAGAACAGTGTGTTAGGGCAGTGAGTGAAGAATAGTGTTAGTGCAGTGATCGAGTGAAGAACAGTGATGGTGAAGAACAGTGTGTTAGCGCAGTGAGTAAAGAACAGTGTTAGGGCAGTGGGTGAAGAACAGTGTTAGTGCAGTGATAGAGAGCAGAACAGTGTATTAGGACAGTGAGTGACGAACAGTGTACTCACCTAATTGTGGCTGCAGGGGTCGAGACTCGGCTCCTGGCCCCGCCCCTTCACAGTGTGTTAGTACAGCGAGTGAAGAACAGTGTGTTATGGCAGTGAGAGTGAAGAACAGTGCAAATGTAGTGAGAGAGCGAAAAGCAGTGTATTATTATTATTATAATCAAGGGGGAAGCGCTAAACCCGGAGGATTATACAGCGCCTGGGGGGGGGGGGGATATGTGGAAGGCATTCAGGCTTAATTCGGGGAACTGGAGCACAAATCCAATTCCCTAAATCAAGAGCCCCTCACCAACATCAAGGAACCTTCCTTGAGGGGAAAAAAAAAAAGCAGTGTAGTGCAGTGAGAGTGAACAGTGTTAGTGCAGAGTGAAGAACAGCGTTAGTTCAGTGAAGAACAGTGCTAGTGCAGTGAGTGAAGAACAGTGTGGTAGCACCAGTGTCCCCCATTATCACTGAAGGTAGCACCAGTGTCCCCCATTATCACTGAAGGTAGCACCAGTGTCCCCCATTATCACTGAAGGTAGCACCAGTGTCCCCCATTATCACTGAAGGTAGCACTAGTGTCCCCTATTATCACTGAAGGTAGCAGTAGTGTCCCCCATTATCACTGAAGGTAGCACCAGTGTCCCCCATTATCACTGAAGGTAGCACCAGTGTCCCCCATTATCACTGAAGGTAGCACCAGTGTCCCCCATTATCACTGAAGGTAGCACCAGTGTCCCCCATTATCACGGAAAGCAGCACCAGTGTCCGCAGTTTTCAGTTTAATATGTTTATTATGCACCCCATACCCATCCTGTGGGCGGTAGTCAAAAGATTACAGAGGTACATAATTGGTCCAGGGACTGGACTCCAAAGTTTTGATAGCTGAGCAAGTTACAAAGGTAATGAACTAGATCTGGTCATGTCCGCAGCATCACTGATTCATCAAGTCCTCTACGGGCCATGTCAAGTCCTTTACAAGTCAGCGTTAACTTGATGGTCATTACTACGGAAAATAGCGACATATAAAACGAAAAGATGAGATGTATCATGCATGACTGAGTACTCCTGCCCATGGTCTACCTTTGCCATGGTGTACCCCTGCCATAGTCTACCCCTACCCATGGTCTACCCCTGTCATGGGTCATCCCTCCCCATGGACCACCCCTGCCGATAGTCTACCCATGCCATGGACCACTTTCAATGACCCACTCCTGCTCATGGTTTACCCCTCCCGTGGACCACCCTTACTCATGGGGCCACTCCTTTCCATAGTTAGTCCCTGCCATGGGCCACTCCTTCCCATGGTTTACCCTGCCCGTGGACCACTGTTATGGGGTTACTGTAGAGGTAGCGGGCGTGTAGGAGCAGTTGCAGGATAATATAATCCTTGTAGACTAGAACGAGGATGACTGAGGAGCATTGCTCTCAGGCCCTGGACCAGGTTCCAGTGGGAGGTTGAGTGAGGAGGTGAATATAAATATAGTATACAATGCTGACATGTTGGTAAGTAAGACACATGTACAACAGTTAGGCACCTTTATTCCTAAAGGTTTCGCTTACACAGTAGGCGTCTTCAGTCGAGTACAGTTTTGTAGAAGCGTAGAGATGTGAAGACGCGAACGTTTCTGAATAAAGATACCTAACTGTTGCACATGTGTCTTATTCGTCACTGAATGAGGAGATGTTGGCTTCTGATCGGCTGTCTTGAATCTTTCTCTGTGCAAATACTCATGGCGTCGGCTGGCACCTGTACAAAGAAAGCCACTAACATGCCGGGGCATTTCTGGCAGACTAGTCAAGTCTTCAGAGATATGTTTATACTGAGTTGGGCGACATTTAGTTGTGCATGCAGAAAGAGTAGCTATATAGAGCCTTTCGGGCCCCAGGTGGCCGTTTTGAAATTACGAAGCTAATTACTTTTACACCAGAAATCCAGGCCCTGAGCCTGCCCATAATTTGCAACTGCCCATGAGCCACCCCTGTCCATGGTTTGCCCTAGTCTATGGGTTACCCTTGCCATGGTCTGCCCCTGGCCGTGAGTTACCCCTGCCCATGGTCTGCTTATGCCTATGGGCAACTCCTTCCCATGATCCTCCCCTGCCCACAGGCCACCCTACCATGGGTCACCTCTGTCCATGCCCCTGCCCACGGGCCACCCCCATCCATGCCCATGGGCCACCCATGCCCCTGGGCCACCCATGCCCCTGGGCCACCCATGCCCCTGGGCCACCCATGCCCCTGGGCCACCCCTGTCCATGCCCATGGGCCACTCCAACTATGGGCCAGTCCTACCCCTGTCCCTGTCCAAGCCATTAAGAACACAAATCTGTTTAGATGAGATTTTAAAACAACAAAAGTGCTGTGATTTATGCTGGAGAACCCATACGAGTGTAGCGAAGTAGTGGTACAGAGGTTAGAGCAGTGTTCAGTAGTACGGACTTTAGAGCAGTATTCAGTGATACGGAGGTTAGAGCCTGCATCACTGTTACATTCATCATTGTCTTAAACATAGTGTTGAAAGCATTAATTTCTCACATTATATGTATTTGTAATAATAATAAACTGAGCATTAATATTTATTGAGTTTAAATTATATCCACTAGTAGGTGATCAGCTTTATTTTGGTGGTTTAGGAAAATAATGATAGGCTAGTTCTTGGCCTTTGTGCGTCTGCTTAGAACATTGTATCTTATAGTATACAAACATATAACCTGTCAGACACCTCCATGCAAACCTTACAGGATCTGCCAAAACACACCATTGTTAATGATAAAATCTGAAATCTTGAGGATGTATCCACATTTTACAGACTAGATGAGTCAACTGTTTTTTATAGAGCAAATTGCAACCCAGTTATGATCTGTGTTTTTTTCAATGGTAACATTTTTTGGGCAGATTGTATTCCATATTGTATTGTACACATAAGCTCGGTGAAATAATTGTAAAATATGAAATGACTACTATTTCTTTCTAGTGAAGTAACAAAGGTACATTGTAACCTCTACAATCCTGCTTTTTGTGCCTCTTAGTGAGCACAACTAAAAAAAAAGTAACCGGCACGCTTCCTCTGTTTCTCGGCACTGAGCTCAGTCCGGTCTCTCGATGGTCCATGCCCTTGAGCTCGTTATCCCAATCGGTCAGTAGATGTACCGATGACCCACCTCTGCGTGGGACATTCACGGCCGACAAATCATTTGCACTACCTTCAGTCGGTGTTCCTTTCTACCTGAGACGGTGGAACACTTCCTGCTGTGGTGCCCCAGTTAACACTGCACGGACCTTCATGTGGCCTTGCGCACGTTTGTGGGATGCAGTCCTTGACCCTACCACTCCTACTCCTTGTGTAGAGGTTTGACTTCAGGTGTCGTCAAGAGATCTTGGCATGTACCTGCGACTCCTACAGGGCTCGGGCCACACCGCCATTAGTCAACTTTGGGGGAGGTTTCTTTCCTGGATATTGGAAGGCAGGGCTCGATACGGCGTCAGCTGTCAGCGGCCCTACAAACCCATCCAGAAAATCAGATGAAACCTGTGGTATCCCTTAACAACCCAACCAAATAATAATAATTATTATAATATAATATTTCTTTATTTCTACAAGTACATGTACAAGGTATACAGTCCTAGCTGACGTCAATGGCATACTACTATATAGAAAGCCGCTTGTTATGCTGAGCATCTCGGGAAAATTAGGTCAGTTTTGCGACCCACACAAGTCGACTAACACCCAAGTACACATTTTATACTGATGGGTGAACAGGGATAGAAGGTGCCTTATGGAAACACGTCCCTAATGTTTTCCAGCCGTACCGAAGAATCGAATTCCGGACCTTAGTGTGTGTGAGAGAGCTGAGAAATAATTGATTTTCGTCTCCTAAATAGCTATAATAATGACTATAATTTTAAAGGGGGTGGACCGGTAAGTCAGTGGAAGGCCTCGATCAGATGACCAAAAGCTCCAGCTGTGGGTCATTATATGACTAAGACCTGCCTTACCTAACCGGCTCCGCTCTGCGGATAATTCTTTAACGGTTTCGGTGGGAAGCCGGTTACTAAACTTAGGTGGTGGGGATGTGGGTGTCTGGTTCTGCTGGAGCTTGTAAGTTTATTCAGGTATACACAAATACAGTTACACAGATTATCATACATAGCACCATATGTGTAGTTCTCTACAAAAAAGTCAAAGTGACTTATTTCCATTTGGGTCCTTGTGATAATTATTATTTATATTTAAAGTTAAAAACAGGTAAGTATCTTGAACTATGTAAAAGCGGTCACTCTCCTCCCATTCTGCAGCCTTATTCGTAAGGTACATTTTGGTTCTCGTCTTGAACTGGCTTATGCTATGACAGGCTCTGGTGGCCTGGTGGCTAACGCTCTCGCTTCACACGGCAAGGGTCTGGGTTCGATTCCCAGCCAGAGTAGAAACATTGGACGTGTTTCTTTCCACCTGTTGTCTATGTTCCCCATCAGTAAAATGGGTACCTGGGTGTTAGTGGACTGGTGTGGGTCGCATCCTGGGACACTGACCTAATTGCCCGAAATGCGGAGCATAACAAGGGACTTTCTATATAGTAGTGTGTCATTGTTGTCAGCTAGGACTGTATACCTTGTACATGTACTTGTAGTAAATAAAGATATTATTATTATTATTATTATGTGCAAGCAGTTTATTCCACTCTTTTATTGCAGTACAGGAAAAGTCTTTGAAGCCTGACCAATGACTATAGGTACAGAAAAGTTGTTCTCCCTCCCCCCTAGTTCTACAATTACTTTGGTTCCCAGCCTTAACAAAATTGGCAGTAAGATATTAGGGACACTGATGACAAGGTGGTTCACCTGATCTAACTGGCAACTTCTATACACAAATAACGCACACATAGGAGAGAGAGAGGAGCTTACGACGACGTTTCGGTCCGACTTGGACAATTTACAAAATCCTCTTTCTATTTACAAAGGAACTCTTGTCCCATGGCTAAAGCTCTCGCTTCACATGGTGAGTGTCCGAGTTCTATTCCCGGCGAGGGTAGAAACATTGGGCGTGTTTCCTTACACCGGTTGTCTATGTTCACCTATCAGTAAAATGGGTACCTGGGAGTTATTGGACTGGTGTTTACCTGGAGTTTACCTGGAGAGAGTTCCGGGGGTCAACGCCCCCGCGGCCCGGTCTGTGACCAGGCCTCCTGGTGGATCAGAGCCTGATTAACCAGGCTGTTACTGCTGGCTGCACGCAAACCAACGTACGAGCCACAGCCCGGCTGGTCAGGTACCGACTTTAGGTGCTTGTCCAGTGCCAGCTTGAAGACTGCCAGGGGTCTGTTGGTAATCCCCCTTATGTATGCTGGGAGTCAGTTGAACAGTCTCGGGCCCCTGACACTTACTGTATGGTCTCTTAACGTGCTAGTGACACCCCTGCTTTTCAATGGGGGGATGTTGCATCGTCTGCCAAGTCTTTTGCTTTCGTAGTGAGTGATTTTCGTGTGCAAGTTCGGTACTAGTTCCTCTAGGATTTTCCAGGTGTATATAATCATGTATCTCTCCCGCCTGCGTTCCAGGGAATACAGGTTTAGGAACCTCAAGCGCTCCCAGTAATTGAGGTGTTTTATCTCCGTTATGCGCGCCATGACGGTTCTCTGTACATTTTCTAGGTCAGCAATTTCACCTGCCTTGAAAGGTGCTGTTAGTGTGCAGCAATATTCCAGCCTAGATAGAACAAGTGACCTGAAGAGTGTCATCATGGGCTTGGCCTCCCTAGTTTTGAAGGTTCTCATTATCCATCCTGTCATTTTTCTAGCAGATGCGATTGATACAATGTTATGGTCCTTGAAGGTGAGATCCTCCGACATGATCACTCCCAGGGTGGGTCGCATCCTGGGACAAAAACTGACCTAATTTGCCAGAAATGCCGTGCATAACAAGCGGCTTTCTATGTACGTAGTATGTCATTGATGTCAACTATGGTCTGTATACCTTGTACATGTACTTGTAGAAATAAAAATATTATTATTATTATTATTATTATTATTATTATTATTATTATTATTACAATAATCGCAAGCTTTGAGCCACAAATCTTCCCTGAACATCGCAAAGTCGGGCAGTTTCAGTTTAATATTTTTATTATACACCCCATACCCATCCTGTGGGTAGTAGTCAAAAGATTACAGAGGTACATAATGGGTCCAGGGACTGGACTCCAAAGTTATGATAGCTGAACAAGTTACAAAGGTAATGAAGTCACAAGTTACAAACGTAATGAATCATCTCCCCTCAAGGAACGTTCCTTGATGTTGGTGAGGGGCTCTTGATTTAGGGAATTGGATCTGTGCTCCAGTTCCCCGAATTAAGCCTGAATGCCTTCCACATCCCTCCCCCCCCAGGCGCTGTATAATCCTCCGGGTTTAGCGCTTCCCCCTTGATTAACATATAAAATGAATCATCTACACGTCTATACATGATTACGATCATGAACCAATTACAAAGTAATGAGCAATTCACACGTCCCACATTAATATAAAAATTAAATGTGGCACATAAGAAATTATATAAAAAGACACATTAAACGAATTATGTAAAATATTGAATAAAAGATTATGAAGATAGAATAAGTAGACCAAGAGAGTTATGACAATATAAAAAAATATGAAGAGTACTGTGGAAATTTGTCTGGACTGCCTCCGAATGAGTTGTCTACCCTAGCAAGATCTGGTGACACCGAGCCCTGAGGCTGGTACCTCAGCCTCACAAGTGGCTTACATGACACATTTCCATTAATGACTGATGTTTACCTGGAGAGAGTTCCGGGGGTCAACGCCTCCGCGGCCCGGTCTGTGACCAGGCCTCCTGGTGGATCAGAGCCTGATCAACCAGGCTGTTACTGCTGGCTGCACGCAAACCAACGTACGAGCTACAGCCCGGCTGGTCAGGTACCGACTTTAGGTGCTTGTCCAGTGCCTGCTTGAAGACAGCCAGGGGTCTATTGGTAATCCCCCTTATGTATGATGGGAGGCAGTTGAACAGTCTTGGGCCCCTGACACTTATTGTGTTGTCTCTTAACGTGCTAGTGACACCCCTGTTTTTCATTGGGGGAATGTTGCAACGTCTGCCGTCTTTTTTGCTTTCGTTGTGAGTGATTTTCATGTGCAAGTTCGGTACTAGCCCCTCTAAGATTTTCCAGGTGTATATAATCATGTATCTCTCCCGATAGAACAAGCGACCTGAAGAGTGTCATCATGGGCTTGGCATCCCTAGTTTTGAAGGTTCTCATTATCCATCCTGTCATTTTTCTAGCAGATGCGATATGTACAATGTTATGGTCCTTGAAGGTGAGATCCTCACACATGACCACTCCCAGGTCTTTGACGTTGGTTTTTTGCTCTAATTTGTGGCTGGAATTTGTTTTGTACTCTGATGAAGTTTTAATTTCCTCATGTTTACCATATCGGAGTAATTGAAATTTCTCATCGTTGAACTTCATATTGTTTTCTGCAGCCCATTGGAAGATTTGGTTCATGTTTGCCTGGAGCCTTGCAGTGTCTGCAATATAAGACACTGTCATGCAGATTCGGGTGTCATCTGCAAAGGAAGACACGGTGCTGTGGCTGACATCCTTGTCTATGTCAGATATGAGGATGAGAAACAAGATGTGAGCGAGTACTGTGCCTTGCGGAACAGAGCTTTTCACCGTAGCCGCCTCAGACTTTACTCTGTTTACTACTCTTTGTGTTCTGTTTGTGAGGAAATTATAGATCCATCTACCAACTTTTCCTGTTATTCCTTTAGCACGCATTTTGTGCGCTATTACGCCATGGTCACACTTGTCGAACTTTTGCAAAGTCTGTATATATTACATCTGCATTCTTTTTGTCTTCTAGTGCATCTAGGACCTTGTCATAGTGATCCAGCAGTTGGGACAGACAGGAGCGACCTGCTCTAAACCCATGTTGCCCTGGGTTGTGTATTTGATGGGTATCTAGATGGATGGCAGTCTTGCTTCTTAGGACCCTTTCAAAGATTTTTATGATATGGGATGTTAGTGCTATCGGTCTGTAGTTCTTTGCTATTGCTTTACTGCCCCCTTTGTGGAGTGGGGCTATGTCTGTTGTTTTTAGTAACTGTAGGACGACCCCGGTGTCCATGCTCCCTCTCCATAGGATGGTAAAAGCACGTGATAGGGACTTCTTGTAGTTCATAATGAACACGGAGTTCCATGAGTCTGGCCTTGGGGCAGAGTGCATGGGCATGTCATTTATCGCCTGTTCGAAGTCATTTGGCATCAGGATAACATCAGATAAGCTTGTGTTTAGCAAATTCTGTGGCTCTCTCATAAAAAAATTCATTTAGATCTTCGACTCTCAGTCTGGTTAGCGGCTTGCTAAAAACTGAGTCATATTGGGACTTGAGTAGCTCACCCATTTCCTTGCTGTCATCTGTATAGGACCCATCTTGTTTAAGTAGGGGCCCAATACTGGATGTTGTTCTCGACTTTGATTTGGCATAAGAAAAGAAATACTTTGGGTTTCTTTCGATTTCATTTATGGCTTTTAGTTCTTCCCGCGATTCCTGACTCCTATAAAATTCCTTTAGCTTAAGTTCGATGTTTGCTATTTCTCTGACCATTGTCTCCCTACGCATTTCAAATATATTGGCCACTTTTAGCCGCTCTGTTATTCTTTTCCATCGCCTGTAAAGGGAGCGCCTGTCTCTTTCTATTTTACATCTACTCCTCCTTTTTCTTAAAGGAATAAGCCTTGAGCATACTTCGAGTGTCACAGTTAATCTGTTCTAGGCATAAGTTGGGGTCTGTGTTGCTTGGTCTATCTTCCCAGCTTATATCGTTTAGGACTTGGTTTACTTGGTCCCACTTTATGTTCTTGTTATTTAAGTTGAATTTGGTGAAGGCTCCCTCGTGACTGATCTCATTTTGTCAGTCTGGGGCTCTGCGCATACATGTCTGAACCTCGATGACGTTGTGATCTGAGTATATTGTCTTTGATATGGTGACATTTCGTGTCAGATCATCATTGTTAGTGAAGATGAAGTCCAGTGTATTCTCCAGTCTAGTAGGCTCTATTATTTGCTGGTTTAAGTTGAATTTTGTGCAGAGACTTAAAAGTCTGTGTGTGTGTGAGTTCTCGTCTGAGCTGCCTCCTGGTGTTACCACTGCAACAACATTATTTGCTATATTCCTCCATTTTAGGTGCCTCAAGTTGAAATCCCCCAGGAGCAAGATGTTGGGGACAGGAGCTGAAAGATTTTCCAGAGGTCAATTTTCAACACCTGTTCCTGGAATTGTTGGGACGTTGCATCTGGGGGCTTGTTGCAAGAAATCTCGCCTGCATGCACGAATAAAGGACTAACTTGGTGTTGAATATATCCCAGTCTTCAACCTCCCTAAGCTTTAGCCCCTCTGGACTTCCCCTTCAAACCATGTGCAGCAGGGAACCTTAATTCCTGCAATATTCAGTCGGTATTAGTGACCTGCCTGCACCTTAGAAATTCTTGATTCCAAGGGGGTGTGTATCCCCTAGTATAACTATGCAGGAAGTGACACTAACTTCTAAGTGCAACAAGAGGGGACGCCGGTACGTACTGGTCTCCGAGCGTCCGACTGCACAAAGATCCACAGTTCAACTCGCAATTTCCCCCATAAACTGGCCAGAATACTGAGAAAGAAAGGGAGGTCTTGTCTTATTGTACGGGTCTGACGGAGGAGGGCATTTACGGTACTTCGAGGTGCCTCCACCAGATTTACCCAGGTCTAGTATATGAAGACACGTGGGGGCGCCGCCCTGCTGTTCACTGCGGTGTGTCAAGTTTGCCGTCTCGTTGTAGGAGGCACTCGTCTCTCAAACCCCGTGCCCCGCTGTTCAAACTTGAGGCTGCCAGTTCTCGCTAGCTAACGTAACCTAGTGTTTGCCTATATTACCGGCCTATTATTACCTACTTTAAGGTCTTAGATCTACATTATTATTATTATTATCTACAGTTGCCTCAATAATCCTAATATTAGTTTACTAACAGTATAAACTACCTACCTCTTCCTTGAAGGGTAAATCTATCAATTAATATGTACCTCCCAACCACCTTCGCCAACCGGGGTGTATGTATGTGTTTTGGGTAGATGTGAGGATCCGCAAAACTCAGACGGCCTTTCCGTGGAATATTAAGGCCTTCATACGACGTATTTGCCTTGTGGAACTTTAGGACCGAATAAGTTTCCACAAATACTAAATTATAATAGATTTCACTCTGAAAATTATCAGTCTGTTGGAATACAATGAATAAATCGATACTGCGTAAGCTGTCAGTGGCCCTGATAAACCCAACTAAGAAAGATAGAAAGAAGAATCGGGAAGTAAGTAAGTAAGTAAGTAAGTAAGTTTATTCAGGTATACACAAATACAGTTACATAGAATTATCATACATAGCAGCATATGTGTAGAGAACCTAGGATAACCCAAAAAAAAGTCAGACAGAGTGACTTATTTCCATCGGGTTCGATACTGCGTAAGCTGTCAGTGGCCCTGACAAACCCAACTAAGAGCAAAAAAAACAGAAGAGGAAGAATTGATCTGTTTACGGCGTATGCTGTTAGTGGCCCTGAAACCCAACAGAAGAAGAATAAGAGGAAGACTTGATCTGTTTCTCGTCGAAAAAGAGAAGCGAGGCAGTGTGTCATGTGTCTAGTTAGTCATGTGGATGTATGAAGCTTTGTAACACTCAGCCTTTAACAAGGACACTTGTGCTATATTCAAGACCTAACACAATAAAGAAGAATTTTATTTTCGTGTTGGTGAGCGTGTTTTTTCACTAACGCTGTATGGTAGTGCTCATACGGGTTTAGCTTGTTTCTTAATATTATTGTAACAGTAATGCTTGTAGTTGCATGAGGTTGTGTGGTTGTCTTTGCAAAAGGGTTGGGGAGGGGGGGGGGGAACTTAACACTTCAAGGGTTCATGATCCAAGGAAATTGAGCTGCTCTCCTATTCCTTGGATCAAATGTGATTAGCTCCCACTTCCTAGGCACTGTATAATCTCTTTTGGTTAAGTGCTTCCCTATGAATATCCTGCTATTATTAATAATGTGTGGTGTGGTCAGTTTTATGTAAATGAGCCAAAGATCGATAAATGAAACTTTTAAGAACAAAATTGACACCAACATAAAACATATAACAGTTGAAATTACAATCTTTTTTTTTATATATAGATACAAGTACACAGTGACTGGCTGGTCCTGTTATTCATCACATTAAACCTCAGACTAACAGAAGCCAACAAGCGGAAATAATGACACTGTATTCTCTGCTAGCAGTGTTTTAAGTTCCGTCTGATAAATACACTAAAAACAAGCCAATAATACCAACAACACTATAACACCATAAAATCTTATCATGAAATCCAACATTACTTAACATTTAAAACCAATTTTTACTGTTTTTCTAAAAGTTGAAACTACACAGTTACTGGTATCAGTAGTGACAAACTCTAAGAATATAGGAATTAACACATACAGTGCATATACGTATACTGTATTGTATCTTACATTAACTCACAACTAACTCACAAATTTAAAATGGAAACAAGAGGTTTAGTCGGTCCTGGAAAATTATTGGTCAACTTGTACTATATTCTCTGGTCCCATTTCAGCATTATTTCACATGGAGAATTGTCTGAAAGCGATGTAGTTATGTAATTGACATTGTTTTTATTGGTGGAAATGTGGAAACACCCAAAATACTAATGTAACTCAATTGATCCCAATGTTAACAAACTTTTTTCCAGGTCCCAATTCAGCACTTTTTTTTTTTTTTAGCAAAAATCATCTCAAATTGATGTGGTTATATAACTGAGACAGTTTTTACCTGTGTAGATATAAAATAATGTCAATAAACCCAATGCAACTTACTCCAACCCAACCTAATCTAACCTAACTTAACCCGACCTATTCTAACCCAACCAGTTTCTTGAGGAAAAAATCTTAAACTGATGTACTTGTGTACTTAGTGTACCTAAAGGAGGACCTTTAACCCTTTCACTGTTGGAAGCCCCAAAATTGAAAGGGCTTACAGTGTTGGAATTTAGAAATAAAAATCCTGAAGTGGTAGAAAACATTTTTTCTGAATGTAATGACAACAAAAATATGAAATTTGATGGAAAACTAGATATAATTTATGTATTGGCAATTTTGCCCATTCTGAGTCCTATTTTTAGCCAAATTCCATTGCTCAGTTTTACCAAATTCTTAACTATTTCACTAGAATGCCTTCCAGTCTATCAGCTGAGAACAAGAAATCACCCTTTCAACTATCAGAACTAACATATAAAGTGCACAAAAGTTGATATTTTGGCAGATTTTACACATTAAAAAAATTCAAATTTATAAACAGTCTGAAATAATAGTGGACATTCCAGACACTAAAAACCTCATATCCTATGTTCAGTAATCACTTCCTCAGGTCTGTCCTATATTACATTTGCCCTCCATTTTGAATTCATTATCGAACAAAATATTAGATATTTTGTTTGATATTTTTGCTTGATTTACCCTATTTTTTGGATAATAAAATATAACCAGGAATGATTGTTCATAGCTTACAGCTTCCCAATAATTGAATCTGACCTAGTAAAAACCCTCAAAACACTGGGGAATGTAGATGGCCTTACCCATCCTCAGGAAAGTTGTCAACAATTGAATATTTCTGCTACTTTGAGCCCAAATTCAAACAAATTCCAGTCCTGAAACCAAACAAAATTATCTGTTTCAGTAGCATGGCTTCAATTCTATCAAATGATAGTAAGAAACAGCCAATAAAACCATTAAAACCATCCTAGAAAACACCTGAAATTTTGCAAAATTTACCGCTCACAGTTTCTCTGTGTAAGCTGAGCTCAAAACATAGATGCATATGTAAGCGACCCTGGCGTCAATGACGTAAATCTATGTATGAGACAGTGAAAGGGTTAAGAAGATGCCTTTATTTTATTTCTTTTTCTTCCTCCAACTTTTTTATTATATGTTGATCATTACTCAGTAACATCTCAGATAATCAGCTTCAAATTTTTAATGCTTTTGTACATTGACAAGGACAAGATTTATACAGTAGACCCCCGCCTTACAATGTTAATCCATTCCTGAGAGCTCATCATGAGCCGAAATTATTGTAAGGCGAATTAATTTTCCCCATAAGAAATAATGGAAATCAAATTAATCTGTCAAGACACCCAAAAGTCTGAAAAAAAAAAATTTTGCCACATGAAATATTAATTTTAATACACACAAACTGAAGAAGACATGCACAGTTAATACTACTCTACTAAGAATAGAATACTGTACATGACACTTACCTTTATTGAAGATTGATGGGATGGGAGGAGGGGAGAGTGTGGAAGTTGTTATTGTTTAGAAGGGGAATCCCCTTCCATTAGGACTTTAGGTAGCAAGTCCTTTTCCAGGGTTACTTCCCTTCTTCTTTTACTGCCACTAGGACCAGCTTGAGAGTCACTGGACCTCTGTCGCACAACATATCTGTCCATAGTGCTCTGTACCTCTCGTTCCTTTATGATTTGTCTAAAGTGGTTCACAACATTGTCATTGTAATAGTCACCAGCACGGTTTGCAATAGCTGTCTGAGGGTGATTTTTATCCATAAAGGTTTGCACTTCAAGTCACTTTGCACACATTTCCTTAATCTTTGAAGTAGGCAACTTCTTCAATTTCTCTCTCCCCTCCTCCGAAGCAGTTTCCTCAGGTCTGGCCTCTTGCTGTTGAAGATGATCTTGCAGCTCATCAGTGGTTAGTTCTTCATTGTTCTCCTCCACCAACTCTTCCAAATCCTCCCCCAGCAAGCTCCAACCCCAAGGACTTCCCCAAGCCACAATTGATTCCACAACTGGCATACGCTTCTCAGGGTTAGCCTCAAACCCTTCAAAATCCCTTTTGTCTACACATTCTGGCCACAGTTTCTTCCAAGCAGAGTTCAAGGTCCTCTTAGTCACTCCCTCCCAAGCCTTACCTATAAGGTTTACACAACTGAGGATGCTAAAGTGATCTTTCCAAAACTCTCTTAGAGTCAATCGAGTGTCTGAGGTCACTTCAAAGCACTTTTGAAACATAGCTTTTGTGTAGAGTTTTTTGAAGTTAGAAATAACCTGCTGGTCCATGGGCTGCAGGAGAGGAGTGGTATTAGGAGGCAAAAACTTGACCTTAATGAAGCTCATGTCCCCAGAAAGTCGCTCTGCCAAGTCTGAAGGATGACCAAGAGCATTGTCTAATACCAGGCACTTAAGGTCCAATTTATTTTCCAGGAGGTAATTTTTCACAGTGGGGGCAAATGCATGGTGTAACCAGTCATTGAAAAAGTCCCTAGTGACCCATGCCTTAGTGTTTGCCCTCCACAGCACACACAAATTTGCCTTGAGGACATTGCTTTGCCTGAATGCTCTGGGAGTTTCAGAGTGATACACCAATAAAGGCTTCACTTTGCAATCACCACTAGCATTAGCACACATCAAGAGAGTAAGCCTGTCTTTCATAGGCTTATGTCCTGGGAGTGCCTTTTCCTCCTGAGTAATGTAGGTCCTGTTTGGCATTTTCTTCCAAAACAGGCCTGTTTCATCACAATTAAACACTTGTTCAGGTTTCAGTCCTTCACTGTCTATGTAGTCCTTGAATTCCTGCAAATATTTTTCAGCCGCTTTTTGGTCCGAACTGGCAGCTCACCATGCCTTATCACACTATGTATGCCACTACGAATCTTAAATCTCTCAAACCAACCTTTGCTGGCCTTTAAATTCACTCACATCACCACTAGTTGCAGGCATTTTTCTAATTAAATCGTCATGCAACTTTCTAGCCTTTTCACATATGATCGCTTGAGAGATGGTATCTCCTGCTATCAGTTTTTCGTTTATCCACACCAATAACAGTCTCTCAACATCTTTGAGTACTTGTGATCTCTGTTTCGAAAACAAACTTGCACCTTTTGCAAGAACAGTTTCCTTGATTGCCGTTTTGTTGGCCACAATAGTAGCGATGGTTGATTGGGGTTTGGTATACAACCTGGCCAGGTCCGAGACACGCACTCCACTTTTGTACTTAGCAATTATCTCTTTCTTCATTTCCATAGTAATTTTCACCCTTTTTACCACAGGGTTGGCACTAGAAGCTTTCTTGGGGCCCATGGTGACTTATTTTGCAGCTACGATCACTAAAAACACTGATAATATGAAATGTACCGAATGTATGCTTGGATATGACCGCACTGGCTGGCTTGTAAACACTGGCACCCACGGGGCAGCTGAGGCCACACGTGGGACGCGTCCCGGACGAATCGCGTGAGGCGAGTTTTTTAGCGTCAGGCGAGGCAAAATTTTTGCGTTTAAATGTATCGTATGGCGGATTTAACAAAACGCAGTGCCATCGTAAGGCAGGGGTCCACTGTAATTAGCGTGTCCGCATGCCCCATACCTGGAGTCTACCTGGAGGTTATTCCGGGGATCAACATCCCTGCGGCCTGGTCCACGACCAGGCCTCCCGGTGGATCAGGGCCTAATCAACCAGGCTGTTACTGCTGGCCGCATGCAGTCCAACGTACGAGCCACAGCCCGGCTGATCCAGCACTGACTTATGACTAAAGTTGTTGAACCCATTCCCAGCATACTGGAATATCTCAGATAACTTTGAAAACCTTCAGTGCCATAGCTTCAAATATTTAGAAAAGGTTAATCATAATTCAACAAAGGCTGAGAGTAAAATATGTAAAATAGTGTAAAAAAAAATTATTCCTGTTAAAT